TGAGTTGTGAGCTCATTGTGATTTTATTCATGGTTTTCAGGATCTAGAAAAGGGAATGAAGTTGTTGACTAGCTGTTCAGAAATTGATATGAAGTTATTGGTATTTTATCATTTTGATTATTGTACAATCATGGCTAGTTTACTTTTTTGTTATGTACATTCTGTTTGTAGCCATGTACTGTAATGCATATGACTATTTTGATAAATGAAAGAAACATTTTGGATGAGTTCTTCTGTATTTGAAATTTTTAGTAGTTCTGTGGTTTAGTATGTTAAAGAATATTTGAAGAAAGTTTGAAAAGAAATTCCAAAACTAGATTATGGGGTTCGCTCGTCGCAGCTCAATATGATAGGATCCGTCCTGATCAGGTGGGTTGTGACACAATTTATGGAAAAACACATAAAGCGAACACTTATGCCGCAACGCCCATAAAATGAACTAATGTTGCAGCGCTGAAAAATTTACTCCTATGCGGTGCTTGCTGACGTGGGTTCGTTGTTTATTAAATCGACGTGTTGCTTCCCTGGCAGATTGTGTCCTGATCGGTTACAACTATAGCACTGCAGTGCTATTGACGGTTGAGCATTGCGGCATCCATGTGGTTGAAAATCGGCGCCACGACACTGCAGATAGAGATTGGGCTTTGCAGTGCTGACTCCTCGCATTCCACGATGCTGTCAAACAGAGAATGGACCCCACCATGTCCATATTAGGCTCTCCGGCAGTGCCAATGATGGTGCTGTGGTGGTATAGCATCCGACGTCGCGGAGCTATATGATACTTGGCATTTCATGCATTTCCTGTATTTTTCATGCACAATACAACTAAAATAATATGATTTCACTAGCAATTTAACATATAAAATATAACATTATTTACACTCATCAGCTGATCTCGAAACTTTTTGTTTGGAAGGTGTTTCTAGATGGTGAAGACTTGCATTGGAATTGGTATCTAGTTAAGAGGATTATGATGGGGTATATGTTCATTTGGCTTAGTGGATTTTTTTGGGACTTAAAAGACTTGTATTTTCTTTGTTATTTCTGGAGAATGATTTTTTCAATATTCGTTTTGATTTTTTGCTTGGGTAGGCTATATGCTTGTTTTATTTTTGCTATATTCCCCAATTGATCCATTGTAAGTTGATTATTCAATGTTTTTTTAATTAATTTAAGCAAATTAAATTATTAATTAAATTAATTATAAATTGAATTATATATGTGTTTATATAGCCATAATACATAAATAGGAGGTGATAAAGCAAATACAAATTTAATTTTTCCAATTTTTCTGGCAATAAAAAAAATTTAGATTTAGTAGAAGTAGCTGATTAATTAATCATTGCTGATGATTGGACATTTGATCTTCACCCTTTGTGTCATGTATTTTATCCCATGTATTCATATTAGTTGTATATATGTTATATAAATAAATATTACTATAAATTCCCTGGTTAAAGAAGGGGAGTCAAGAGTAAATATTCTTGGCCTCGAATCCGAGTAGAGGTGCGTAGCACAAGACCAAGAAAGAGTGAAGAGATCCTTCCTTGATAGCTCTGAAGAAATTGAAGAAGGCTAAGAGAAAAATGAAGGATTCCTCTAAATGCTGGAGCCCTTCTTCAGCGTCCTAGCCAGTAGAATCTCAGCATGTGGACAATCATTGGTGGTATAGCTTTTGGAGCCTATAAGTATGGACTTAGTTTTGTTTCTTTTGATTTTCTGCTAGTTGAATTTCATTACAATTAGGGCTTTTGAGATTTTTTTGGGTACTTCTTGCATAAATTTTCTTGGCACTTTTTGGTATCGGTTGGCTTGCTGGGTTTTAGGGAGCCTAGATCATTTTCTTCGTGTGATTTGTCTATGTTTCTGACATCCTTTTGATTGAAGGTTACCTCAATTTCTTATACTCAATGAGATACTTTTAAAACCAGGTTAAAACTCCAATAAAAGAAAATTATCATACTCATAATGACTAATATGAATGTGTCAGATCCCTCTTGAGGAAGAAGCACTTCCACCTGATCTTGAGAGAGGAGAGGAGGGAGAGAGGAGAGAAAAATGCATAAACTTTATTTCTCTTCTTGGCCTCTATTACAACCTAAAGGCCTCCTTATATAGACTCCTAAGGCTATACAAAGCAACACAAAAGGCTATACTAATGGCTATACATGCCATACAAGAAACCTAAACTAAAGCAATCCTAAATCTAGGAACAAATATCCAACAAAATGCAATCAAAAGGATGTCACATTAGTTACTATCATTAGTATCGCATTGAGTGCAAGAAATTTAGGTCACCTACAATCAAAAAGATGTCACAAATATAGAAAAATCTCATGAAAAAATGTTATATGCTCCCTAAAATCCACCAAGCTAACCGATTTCAAAAATTGCCAATAAAATTTATCCCAGAAGTAAAAAAAAAAAAAAAAACTCAAAATGCGCTAATTGTAACAAAAATCAACTAGCAGCGATCAAAAGAAGCGAAACTAAATTCATACTTGTAGGCTATATATATATCTATATATATAATGAAGATCAGACGGTCAGTATATCATCATCAGCAATGATTACGTAATCAACGACTTCAACTAAATCTGTATTTGTTTTATTGTCGGAAAAATTGGGGGAATTAAATTGGTATTTGCTTTATTACCTCCTATCGATGTATTATGGGTATATAAACACATATTAGCGGGCTCAATAGAGATTAATATTGGCTTTATAAATATATACACACACACACAAACAAAATTATTTCAATTTATAATTTAATTTACTTAAATGAATAAAATAGACTCCCAAATACACTAAATTTATTATTAAATGGCCATAGTTATCCACCTCTTATCATCATTATTAATTTATTATATTATCTATATCATTTTGTCATAGGGGTGTCAATATTTAACTCGACTTAAAATTGATCCGAAAAATTTCAGGTTTGATCAACCCATTTGATAAACTGATCGGGTTCAGGCTGACTCGAAAATCCAAAGTTGACCCGGATAACACGGATCCCGCACGCACCTCATCACTCAACTCAGTCCTGCATCCCGTACTACGCACGACGCACTCGCGCCTGCCTTGTCCGCTCTCGACTTAGCGTCCTGCACAAGCTGCTTGCCTCAATGCCTCGCCAACAAGCGCACTACCAGCCTCGCACCGCTGCTCCTGCCTTTCCCACATTTGTGACTCGACTCCGGATCCCGCACCCACACCTGCACTGGCGCCATGATTTACCCGTGCTTGACCCATCGCCCCACAGCCCAGGCGTGCTCACCTGCTCTATGCCTGGGTCAGCATGTCGGATCGGGTCAACCCTGATTTGAGGTGGGTCGAGTCAAAAAATGGTATTTCTTCCATAGATGCAGTTTAGTTATAAATCAAGGGAGCTAATTAGGTTTAAAAGAAGTTTCTGCAGAGACAGAAGTAGTGGATGGAAAAGGAGACGTTATTACGTCCGGTCAAAAAATCGAACGGAACGAATGTATATCGAGCAATATCGAGTGTCAATACTGAGTGTTTGGTGACGTGGCGTGTGATTATTGGCCTCTGAACATGTTCGGTTGACCGGACGTAATAATTGCTCTTGCAAAAGGCAGCAATGGGCGATTGTAGCAGGCGAATACAATTGTTTAAAATATAATCATGAAATCATCAACCATAGATCTACTAAATACTTAAAATAATTTTATCATATTAACTGAAATATTTTTGAGATATGGATAATGTTGTTAAAAATTAAATAAATAATGTGATAAAAATATTTTTGTTGATATAAAAATTAAATATAATAGCATGATGGAGAGAAATGAATTATTAAATTGATATTTTATGTTCTTAAAAATAAAAATATATATAAATGAAATAAAATAAGATGGAAGATGAGATGTGATAAAACTACAATCTAATTTCATTTATATAGGCAATAGAGTAGAGTATTATTGGAAAATTCTATGAAAAAAATATTCTTAATAATGAGGATATTTTATAATAATAATGATCATAAAATTTTACTATAACTAATACACACATATTTTAATATTCATATGGCAGTGAATAATTCTAATTAACTCTAATATAAAAGAGGTCAATATCTCGATCAGATTTGAGTCCAGATGAACCCAAATCAAGCAATATTAAAACATACTTAAAATGTTGTCCAATTCAGACGTTCTTATAATCAAATTGAGGGCTCAACCAGAAAAATCTAATGGGCTCAACATCATTTGATTCTGACATCATTGAAACATTAAAATATTTGATAAATAATTTAACATCATTAAGATCAATATGCACCGTACGATAGGAAAAATTATTCAGTGCGGATGCTGAAAGATGTCCGGAGTCCAACCAAAATGCGCCACATTACTCTTTTACTGTACCGCAGCTTGATACCACTGACGTGGATACACCTAATTCGCCTTCGAACGTAGAGATTCGTCCGAGGTCAGCACGGAATAATTTCTCGTACGGAGTCCAACCAAAATGCGCCACATTACGGTGCGGATGCCGAAAGATGTCCGTAGTCCAACCAAAATGCGCCACATTACTCTTTTACTGTACCGCAGCTCGATACCGTTGACATGGATACGCCTGATTTGCCTTCGAACGTAGAGCTTCGTCCGAGGTCAGCACGGAATAATTTCTCATACGGATAGACCATTTTATCTTCTTAAAACTCTATTGTTATAAAATATTATGAATCAATATCGATGCAAATGATTGTTACTTTAATTATGTTTGTTGATAAACTTATTAGTTTATTTTCTTAAATTTTAAAATTTTATTTTTATTTTTAAAAATTTATTCATGTGTATTTTTATTTTATGCACGGATAAGTTTATTACTTTATACAATTATACTAATATATGACAGTGGCATGTGATTCTTCGAGAAAAAAATCTTAGCCTTTCATTTAAAAAAAAAAAAATCTCAACCGTCTGATCGTGCCCTATATTATTACAAGCAAAGGCTGTTTAAATTCATCTGATCATGTGGCAAACTAACCTCCAAAGATCTAAGCGGCTTTTATTTATTATATTATAGGTGGTTGGTGGCGGCCATGGATGATCGTTTGAGGTCTCGCTGCTCAGCTGAAGGAAGCAATGGAGAGTGCAAAGACGGTGAGGAACAAGCAAGTGCTGTTCAGGAGGTTCCTCACGGGAGCTCCGACGGAGGAGAACATGCAGCTGAGGACGGCTGAGGCGGAGCTTAGGGTTCAGGCGGGGTCCGGCGCTGTACTGGTGAAGAACCTCTTTCTATCTTGCGATCCATACATGAGGGGTCGGATGAGGGATTACTATGGATCATATATTCCTCCTTTCCAGCCCGGCAAGGTAAAATCCGCCTTCTGTGTCGGTTGCTCGTTTATTTGATTTGGACTGGCTTCTTTTGTGGTTAAACGCACTTTACTCTGGAAATGAGGGGAGGTTTTGGACATTGAACGGGGATTCGAAATTGCTAAATAGGAACTATTGTGCAGTTTGATCGCTCTTTTATTTCTGATTAAAAAGGACTTGTTGTTAGTATTTTAGTGATTTGGGGATGTCTTTGTTCTTATTAGAAATAATTTTGAATTTTGAATTTTGGTATGTGTTACGACCGAACATTTTAATACTTGAATTTGATTGTAGTTTAGCCAATTGCAGCTTGAGATAGGTTTAGTTCACTTACCGATTAGAAGGCTGTAATGCTACAAGCAGCTAAACTTTATCTTTGTTGTTAAAAAAAGGAATCAGGCATAGGTTTCAGAATAACTAGATTAAAAAATGTTGAAAAGGTTAAATATGTTTAGTTGCAAACCTATGGATACTCTGCTGGAAAAATGAGTGAGAATTTGAGTATATGCATGTACCTAAGGGCTTAAGAAGAAAAAGATAAAATGTCCTACGTTTTATATGGAAGTGCAGTAGATAATTTAATACATACAATGATGTTTTGATGATCATATAACTTTTTTTCTTGGTTAGTATGATTAGTCGCTTTCAGGTTTTGCCCCTCTTGGTGTTGCACATTACATGACATTTAAAAAAAATTTGGGTACCTGAAAATAAAAATAGATTTTAGTTATGCACTAGAGTGGTGAGTCAAGTTGATGGAATATTTGTTTGAGAGGAAGATGATCTAGGTGCATCCTTTTAGCGGTTCTTATAGACTTACTAGGTATGTGTTCCAAAACTAAATATGAGTGTGAGTGGAAGAAGCAAATCTCCTAAAATTAATTTCTTTAGAACATATTTTTATTTTGAACCAGCTTTACTAAGCCAAGTGTTTCTATATTAGCCAAGTTTTCCTAAACAAACCTTGAGTTGGTAATTTATTCTCATGAACTTTACAAAACATATCATTTCTTTTAGCTTTAATTTACATGTTATAATTTTGTTTAAGAGAAAAGGACCAAATGGTCCCTTAACTCTTTGGGAGGGACTAAAATGGTCCTCAACTATTTTGATGGACCAATTCGGCCCCTCAACTCTTTAAAATGAGATCATTTTGATATTGTTGTTTAAAAATAATTGAAATTTTGGATGGCAATAAGGGTATGATCAGAATAACCACAAAAATGACAATAATAAGAAAAAAGGGAGAACAATTGTTACGTTCACAGCGAGCAAGCTCCCGTCGCTACGTCTGATCCAATAGGAAGAACAACAAACTTTCGCGACTTCCGATTCAATAGGAAGGAGCGTCGTCGAAGGAGGCGTTAGCAACTCGTTCAAAACCCTACCGCGTCCAACAACAATGAAGAACGCCAAAGAGAAGAAAGAGTAGTAAATCATTTAGGAATTCATTTATGTAATTTAATTAGTATAAATTAATAAATTTAAAAATTCATTAGATAATTAATAATGTAAATAATAATTAGATGATTAATAATCAAAATAATAATAATATTTATATAATTATTTAAGTTATTAATATTTATGATAGTAATTAGATAATTAAGCTAGTTAATATCCCTAAGATATTATTAGTAAAGTTAAATAATTAATATATGACTAAAATTTTTAAAATTGTAGCTAAAAATATTATTAATTTATCATTAAATAAATGAATAATATTTTAAAAAAATTATAATTACTCAAAAAATATATCTAATAAATAGTTCAATTAAAAATTACTAAAATACTCCTATTTTTTAACACCATTAAGCCCAACATCCATTAGTTTCGATGTTAGGACTAAATTGTCCCATTTTAAAGAGTTGATGGATCAAATTGGTCCCTCATAATAGTTGAGGACTATTTTGGTCCCTCCAAAGAGTTGACGGATCCTTTTGATCCTTTTATCTTTTGTATAACAACTCTCACAAACTTTTGTGTGTTTTTTTTCTGCTACATTTGGCATTACTGTGTTCTTTCTTATCTTTTTGAAGGTCATTGAGGGCTTCGGTGTGTCTAAAGTAATTGATTCTGATAATCCAAATTTCAGTGTTGATGACTTAGTCTACGGAATAACTGGATGGGAAGAATATACTTTGATTTTGAAGGTAGAAGGGCTGAGAAAAATTGAAATCTCAGACATTCCACTTTCTTACTATTTAGGTCTTCTTGGTAAGTAACTAATAGTATTCCTTCTTTTATGATGAATGCCATCCAAAATGTTACACTAAACTTATAGTAGATAAAGCTCAATTGAATATTACAGTGGTCATTTCTTTCTAATAATACATATCAAACAGCCCTATCGGTATTTCCATATACTGTTATTGTTTCAAAATCACTACATATACTAAATGTTGCACTCCATTTTCGCCAGGATGTAAAAGTAGCTCCATGGAAATTAATAATTCATCATTTATTGTCCTAATATTCAATATATATCATTATTAATTGGTGCTTCTACATATATGAACTCATTTTTTTCTAATCTTTTCTACCTGCATTTTTGCTTTTAGCTGATTTTGTGTCTTAGCAATTAGTCGATACTTCCAAAACTAAACAAAAAATTATTTTGGTTCGCAAGGCATACGTATGAGCTTTTGTCAGGTCGACATGTATAGTGTTTTTTTTTTTTGATAGTTTTAGGTTACTAAAGTGTAATACTACCATATCTCAATGCTTCTTTTTCTAATATTTTGTTTGTAATTGATAGATGAACATTTCTGTGTACTTCATATAACCATCTTTTTAGAAGGGAGGAATATAGATGGTCATATTGAGCTTGATATCTAAGTAGATGGAAACCCATTAATCTCAAAAGCTCTTCAAACCCTTATTCAGTCCATCTTGATTTCAATTGTATGGGTAAATAAATCCATGATTTTGCCTAGGCTGATGGACTCCAAAAAAAGTTTCATCCCACATCATTAGTAATTAATATAAATTCAATGAATCTAGCGAATATTTAAGTTCCACACTAATGAGAAGGAGATGAGGAATCAATGTAAAATTTAAATCAAATCTCCTAAACAAGAGTGATTGGCTACTAAAGGAGGAGAGATTCAGGGACAAAACAAAATAATACTTCAATATTCACTCAACAAAACACTTCACTCACTCACTTTCTCTTGGGCATCCACATCATAAGGAGGATGAATTTGAATTCAAAATTCATGGTTTATCATGTTTAGTTTGACCTCATACTATTTTAGCTAAAATTTCAATGCATTTCATACTTTTAGGCAGATTTGAATTTAAACTTGAATTTTCATGTAAGTATTTTATTATCTTTATTAGGTAGTTCATGTCTACAAATGTAGCTTGGGCATGGTGTTGAAAATCAGTTGAATACAATTCAATTGAATTAGCAAAGTAGCCTTTCTACTATCCATCCAATACTCTCTCTCTCTCTCTCTCTCTCTCTCTCTCTCTCTCTCTCTCTCTCTAGTTCGGTCTATTTTGATAAAACTGGTACCCCACTCTTGATTTCTCTCATCAAAACACATTCAAGCTATGAGCATTAATCCTAAAGCAAGGAGGCTCAAATCCCAATTCAGGTGTACAATTTCCAAGGTGTAAATCTAAAATGCTATCCTCTCTCTTTTTGCTTTGACCATATTCTCTTAGATTCCTTCATTTGGCGTAGCACACAAGGGAGGAGGATTAGGATTTATATGGAAATCATAACTAGGGTATATTACAACATGAAATGAATGGTAATCCATTCTTCTTAATCATCTTACTATGATTCATGAAACCTTGCATAATTCTTACATTGATATTGTAGGAAATCCTATATCTTTGCATGCTTGAAAAGTTTTTGCTGGAGGACTTCTCAAGAAATTCTAAATTTTAAGAAAATCCATGATTTAGCTTCTTGGCTTCTTGCATAGAAACCCTGGGTTCTCCAAGAAACATTTAGTTGTAAAAAAACTTTTGCTAAAGATTATCCATAGGTTCAGCTAAAGATAATGGTTAAGGCATGTGAGAATATCTTCAATTAGCGTGACTATGTATTAGCTGAATGCATTTTCTTTTTCTGTGTGGTTTCAAACTGAATTTTCCTTTAAAAAAAAAAAAAAAAAACATGGTAAGGTGGAAGCCAATGGAATTGAAAAAGCTAATACCTAGCTAGGGTCTTAGCGTTAGGTGGGAACAAGGAATTCTAATGGTACAAGTTCCCCTACTTTATCTGCATCTCTGCATATTTTTAACATATTATACTCTTTTGTTCACAATAAAAAGTTTATTGATGGACAGGTATGCCAGGATTTACAGCCTATGCTGGATTTAATGAAGTTTGTTCTCCAAAAAAAGGAGAGCTCGTCTTTGTCTCTGCTGCATCAGGAGCAGTAGGGCAACTTGTGGGCCAACTAGCAAAGTTGAATGGCTGTTTCGTTGTTGGGAGTTCTGGTTCAAATCTAAAGGTATGAATATCCTAATTTACTTTTTTTTCACCAAGTTGTTGAATGAATGATGAATTCTAGGTTGATCTTCTGAAGAGCAAGCTTGGATTTGATGAAGCTTTTAATTACAAAGATGAACCTGACTTAGATCTAGCCCTGAAAAGGTTAGTACTGTGACCAGAAATATTACTATTGTTGAAGCCTTGAAAATAACATGGTCTGCTCCTCTCTAGTAAATCCTTTGTAATCAAACAGCCAATGCTATTTTAATGTGAATCTTAACACAAAAAGTTGTCAAGCCTTTGCACTCGTACTTTTTCGCATCGAGAAGGTCTCTGACAGCTGGGAAAAAATGCAAAACAAAAGAAGTATTTCTCTTGGCTTTGCTCTTTCTATATATATATATATATATTGCTCTCTCTCTCTTGAATTCTCTTGCCCTTGCTCTTTCTTGCTCTCTCTCTCCCTCTCTCTCTCTTGCTCTCCCTCTATAACAAGTTCGACGAGTCGAGCTTTTCGAGCTCGCGAGTTGAGCTTGAATAGGATTTTGAGCTTGACAATTTATTGAGCTTGAGTTCGAACAACACCGCTTGACTCGCGATCGTCGAGCGGCTCGCGAATGGAGGCAGGGTTCCGCGAGTAGGAAATCGAGGGCGGAAGTTCCGCTGGCGGGAAATTCCGTTAGTGGGAAATTGCATGCGGGAAAACCCGAGCAGGAAATTGTGGGCGGACGACTCGCTCTCGTTTAAGAAGATGGAGGAGGCGGAAGCGAACGGAGGCAAAGGCAGACGACGCAGACGGAGGCGGAGGTAAACGACGCGCATGCGGAGGCGGATGACTCGCTCGGACTTGGACAACGCGGACAACCACAGTGGTTCGCGAGTCAGCTCGAGCTCGTTTACAGTAGGACGAGCTCGAGTTTGAGTTCAATAGTGCCAAAACTCAACTCGTTTGCACCCCTATCTTAAATATTTACATTCTTAAAGTTATACCTAATAAAGCAAAAGATGCTTATAGTATGGCTGTTCCTTTATAGTTTGCGCCTAGACTACTGGTCTGTGCTTAAAGGCCCTGCAATAGGAAGTATACTTCCCTACTGATTAATGAATGGAGTAATTTCCCCGCCTGCAACATGGAGCACACTTCCATTTACTGTCACAGTGTTCAATTTAAAATTCTTAATTTGCTATTGCGAAGATTCAAGTATTGTATTGACGTGCATAACCTGCACATCCATTTATACTCACTGTCAAAGAAATCAAACATATAGTTAAAACTTCCTCATGTTTGTTTAATGCTAAGTTTCTAAGGATGTGGATACTCTATTCAAACTTCAACGAGAAAAATTTCATCATATCCACAGAACTATGCATATTCATGAAAAGATTGCAGTAGCTCCAGTGGAAAGAGAGAGTCGCCTTAGATGATCTGGTCGTATAAAACGGCGGCTTTCCGATGACATGGTTAGGAAAGTACATATATTAAATTTGACTTACCTTAAGAAAGGTAGAGGTAGACCTAAAAAACTTGGTTAGATAATATTAGAAATGATCTTTCCTTATTAGATTTAAATGATAATTTGACTTTTAACCGGACACAATAGAGAAAAAAGATTCATGTAGCCAACCCCGAGTAGTGGGACAAAGGTTGATGTTGTTGTTCTATCCACATAACTATAGTTCTATCATTTGAATTTTCACTTGACCGTTGCTATCAGTTCTTTCTGCATCAGAATAAGTTATTTCTGCATATTTTTGTGGAAACTGGAACCACAGGTATTTCCCCTCAGGCATCGATATTTACTTCGAAAATGTCGGCGGCCGTATGCTCGACGCAGCCCTGCTCAATATGAGACCACACGGACGCATAGCCGTTTGCGGTTTCGTGTCGCAGAATGGAGTCTCTGACCCAGAAGGGATTCGAAACCTGTCTCGTCTTATATCGATGCGAGTAAGGATGCAGGGGTTCTTACAGAGTGACTATTTGCATTTGTTTCCTGATTTTTTGAGCAAGATGGCTGAATACTACAGGCAAGGGAAAATTGTCTACATAGAGGACATAGCTGAGGGCCTTGAGAGTGCTCCAAAAGCTTTTGTGGGACTATTCAGCGGCAGAAATACTGGTAAGCAAGTTGTTTGTATTTCTAGGGACTGATTATGCTTTTATTATTGTTATTATTATGAATTTGCTAATGAGATTGATATATTTTGTAATTCTATGCATTTCATCTTTGTTCTATATATATAAACAAGTGACCAACTTCACCAAAATATTTCATATTCAAAGTAGTGAAACAATTTGTTAGATTGGTCCAGCCGGTCTGATGGGACCGGTTTATGCGAATAAAGGCGGAAATATTTGCCTCCTGTATGCTTAGGATGGATTTTTGAGGGAGTTAGGAGGGAAATTTGAATGTAGGGATTGTTTAGGGATTTCATTTTGATTTGTATGCATTAAATATTTTAATTTCAGTCATTTTAAATTAATTTAATTTTAAGTTTTAAATATATATATTAAGATGAATATTAAATTTTGATTTTTTTCAAAATTTGCACCTTCAGACTTTTATTATAAATTAAAGCATTATATATATATATATATATATAAGATTCATGATCATCACTTAAAAAGTTAAAAGTGAATATGATTTCTATTTTTTTATAAAGCCAAGAACATAATCAATTGTCATCATTTAAAAAAAAAAATCTATTTATGATGCATTAGAATATTTGTATTTAAAAATTTGTTCAGAAAGCACTCAAATAAATTTATTTCAAATAGGGAGCATATATATATAATAGAACTTTTTATGTATTTATATATCAAAATTTTTATTTTCATTTAAATAATATTTAAATTTAAAATTATATTAAATATTAATAAATTTAATTTATTTAAAATTACAAAAAAAATATTTTAAATATAATTTACGTAAAAAATGATTCATAATATAAAAATTTAAATGTTGATATACAAATATATCAAAAATTCCGTAATATCTTTCCAACCTCCCTTAAGAGAGAGGAGAGAGAGAGCGGGAGGCAACAATAACATCAAGATTTTATCCACTATGTGGACTTGATTACATAAATTTTTTTTTTTTCATTGTGTTGTTAAGAGTCAAATTTTTATTTAAATCTAGTTAAAAAATGTCATTTCTATTATTTTTTAATCAAATCTTTAAGGTCTACCTCTACCTTTGTTAATATATGATAAATTTAATATATTTATTATACTAACCAGGTCATCAAAAGGTTGATATTTTATGTGATCAAATCATCTAAAATGACTCTATCTAATCTTATTTGCTACTCAAGCTAAACTTTTTTCAAAGTATATATTCATTTCGCATTTTGTCCATAAGAGTGAATCCACCAGAGCCCTACATGGGGTCCTGGTTTGGTATCCATTGGGTACCAACGCTCTGCGCGGGCAGGCTTTACCCATCCATGCCCACTTATGGTGACTTTCGGGATGTCATACCCACCCACTTTCCACGCTTCTTGAATGCAGTCTGCTACGGATTAATGGCCTTGAGATTTTTCTGCCTTTTTTCTCTGATGTCAAACTTTTAAGCCAAATATCAAAATTTATCGTGATCGCGACACGGTTCAGTGTTGCGCGCTGCATAGTAAGGATTACTATAATATACTGCATGCATATGATGATTATTAATGTAAATCAATTTGTCCCTTGATGTTGAGTACCCACCCATGAGGTCATGGTCGTACCCATACCCACCTATGCCCATTGGGTATGGGTGGGTACGTGGATAGGTGTGAGTATGGGTATCAATGCAGGGCTCCAGAATCCCCTCATTTGCAACCCTTAACTTAATTGTATGCTTCTATTTTAATGGCCAACATTATGCACCATAAAGTATTGTAGGTCTCACCGCCATTTTCTAAAAATTTTCCTTAAATTTGAGGGATACATTCCTATCACAGATCAGTTAGTTGCATCCCTAAACATCAACAATCAAACTTGAATTCTACTAATGATATCCTCATTTATTTCAGCATCATTATGAACAATAAAACCCTGAGATATCTAAAATGTGAGCTCTAATTAATAGCTAAACCCAAAAAAAAAAAAAGTTTAGATAACGAAAAATGAAGGATTGTATTAGGTAGTCGACAGACAACGTAAAATTTGTCGACCGACCGCACATAGTGGGATAAATGCTTGATGATGATGATGTTGTTGTTGTTCATTTTTCTAGCGTGCAATGAAAAACTTCTATCTATGATAAAAAATGACACAACTTCTACCAATTCTTAAAAGCTTCTCTGACACGCAACACCTCAAAAACAAAAAAGGTGATTTACATATACATTACTTTATATCATGATATTTACATATCTAACATTTAAAACTTTAATATTACATACCTACCAGTCATAGATCAAATATGGGTGCAATGAATGAAATATTAAAGTTTATAAAATTGTACACGTGATATGAATGAAATATAAGAGTGAAATATTTTAATATTAGAATTATTTATGGATGGTAGGCATGAAATATTAAAGCTTTGGATGTTAGATATGTAAGTAGTATTGATCTAAAATAGTATGTATATAAATCCCCCAAACAAAAATGTGTTAACCATATGGGTGTCAATATTGGACACAACCCATATGACCCAAACCCAAACCGGGTCGTGATCGGGTTTAGCAAAATGAGCCGAAACCTGAATTGAGTCGGGTCAAAAATTGACGGGTAAAAGTCAAATTTTACCCGAACACAACCCGATGATACGAATTGACACCCATAATTAACCACAACTCAAATGCCCAAGTTTTACTATAGCATTGGCACATGATAGTTTTCATAATATATGGTTGTAATGTTAAGAAAAAATAGTACAATTCATCGAAGAAATTCACTAAGTTCTCAGTTTGTTTGTAAATCAAGAAGAACCATTGATCTGAAAATGATAACCTGCAGCAGCGAAGTGTGATTTCACCAAAGCGAGAGCTTTTGAGCGGTGTGATATCTTGTTCTTTTCCTCCTTTGGCATCTCAGCATAGCTGCAACCAATGCAAATCATAGATTGACAAAAAATGAGGATTGAACTGTAAATTTATTATATAATATTTATAAAACAAATCTATAATATTTAGATTTACTCTTTTTTATTACTAATTCAATAATAATCATGATACTTGTAGCTTTCTAACATGAATTTTGCAGCCTCCTAAAATTCAGAAAAAATGATGAAAATAAGGGGAGTTCTCTTACGTTAGTTCATATCCATTTGGTTGGAAAATTGGATCCCATCCAAAATCTTTGGGGCCCCTTGCTGGTACTATTTTCCCCTAAAAATCAATAGAAGAACACTAAGAGTGAAGCATTCATAAAAGGGCAAAGAAACGGGAGAATAAATTTAAAATATTTGCATGGAACTTCTGTATTTGCATACATTATAGCAATGTGGTTATAGATCCATTTGACTAAAATGCTCATTATAGTTTTATTTGGGATAGCTTTATTACTGCTTCTTAAAACGACTTTTTAAAATTTTTATACTAAAAAATTGCTTTCGAAAGAAATAAGAAAGCCGTTCTAAATAAAGCCTATAATTAGTGCTATCGAAAAAACTGTTTTATGTTCAACTCAGCAATCAGCTTGAGCTTGGCTAGTTTTAATAAGCTCACATATTTAGGCTTTATTTGGGGCGGCTTTCTTACAGCTTCTTGAAGCAGCTTTTTAGTACAAAAATTTAAATATTTATACTAGAAAGCTGCTTTAAGAAACTATAAGAAAGTCGTCCCAAACAAAACTTTAGTACAAACAAAGCTTAGTTCAATCATGTTAGGCTTTTAGGGTTATTTAATTATTTTTATTTACACATAAAAATATGCATACATATATTTATATGCATATTTATTCTGATTGATTGTTAACTAGCTAATCGAGAACATAAAATTTTGACTCATTTACTTAACAAGCAGAGATGAACAATAGAATAACACTTAAACTTTCTCAAACTTTGCTCGTTTACATCCCCTAATTAAAGAGCACAAAAGTTTACCATTGTTTTCCCAACAAACGTCAAAGGCTCTGTATTTGGCCCAAGAGCAAGAGAAAATACGCAGGCAGCATATGCTGATTTGTCTTCATAAGCCATTAGCAGATTGTTCAGACCTACATAAGAACAGTTAAAAATTATAATAATAATAAATGCTGAAAGGGCATCAGAAAGAAGGTTTTAAAAAAGATTAATGTGAAACAATGGATTCTGTCTATCACCTTCATGTCCAATCTTCTCGAGAAACCACTTTCTGATTTTCCAAACGTTTCAGAATGCCAAAACAGTCAGTATTAGGAATTTGATTTCAAAGACAGAGAATATTCATGAGAAAAGGAAAATATGCCAGCTTAAGGAATTCCATATAACACTAATATGATTGTGGCTTCCTTTGAGACGGCTTTCCTACTGCTTTTCAAAGCAGCTTTTTAGTACTAAAAAGCATCTTTAAGAAATAGTAAGAAAGTTGTTCCAAATGAAGCCTAAATCATATGACAAAGAAGTTACCGTTGAAGTACCAAGCACATACATGTAGGGGCCTGTGACAATGAAAGGAAATGACATTAATAGTAAGGAAATGTCATTAATAGTAATGGCTCAAAGAGCAGGAAATACCGGGTAGACCATTAAGAGCATTGAAACAAAGGCAGGTGTCCTCAACAAGAACTGGCCCATTTACCTATCAGGTAACCAAAGCACTCGTAAATATAAGGTTCTCAAGCAAGATAAATGATCTTCGAGAAACTAAAACTCACTATAATGTGAGCATTTATAGCTTAAAATATCTCATGGCAATACCTCAGTTGAAGCCAAACGGGCCTTGCCTTTTGATATCTCTTCTGGCTCACCTTGCAGTTCTGGCACTAAGAGAAATTGACAAGTAAATAAGGAAATAACAAAAAATGCAACCATTAATATGCCAATAAGAATGGCGTATCCACAAGAAATGAAGCCCATGCAGATGTGGGGTATGGCATAGAGTTGATATTGTGTATTCCAGGGAAAAAGCCAAAAATAATCCCCCTATTATTCTTATGTGGTCAATTTAGTCATAAAGTATCACATTTCTCCAATTTAATTGCTCTGCCATACAAAATTGATCCCGAATGGTTCCTCCGGGCTAAATTGGTCACATCATTCCAATTTTTGTCAATTTCTATCTAAGCGACCATTTGGAATAATTTTGCATGGTCGAGTGATTAAATAGGAGAAACATGATATTTTGGGAATACATTGGCCATAAGCAATAGTCGGGTGACTATTTTAGGAATGGCCTATTAGATACTCTATTAGCATTACTGGGTCACTAGTAGTTGAAAAAGAAAAAAAGCCAGAGATTTTACCCTACTGGCTTAACATCATACCCCTTTTCCTGTGGGGAGCTGAGTTGATAGAGCTCAATATGATCACTTTTCCTTTTTTAGGAGATTAAGAGAATGAATGTTGCACCCTACTAGCATGTAGTATACCCCCTCTTCTTATGGGGAGTTTCAAATGGAGTAGAATTAGGACCTTGCTAAAGAATCTTGGTGTACAAGGGACTTCTTTGAATTTTTGCCGCTAACTAGCATTGATGGTTTGATCATAAGATTTGACTAAGGTTTCTTAAAGGAATAAAGCTTTTTATAAGAGGGGATGAAAATCTACAAAATACGCCTCTCCTAAATGAGAAATTTTAGAAAGATTTCAATATATACATAGAAAAAAATGGGAAGACTTAAATTGTACCATATTATTTGTTGCTAACCTTTTAGAATGTCAACGTTCAAGGTTCTGATTGAAGATGTATCATCAGTCAAGTGATTGATGCATGATTATTTAATCTAAGAGTAACAATTTCTTCTTAACATTGTTGATTTGGTCAAACATTATATGCAAAGCAGACTTCAATTTGACAGCTAATCTTGCATTTGTATGACAATGCTTGAGATCACCCATGTTATTGGCTTCTTCAAACTAAGTGAATTCCAAAAGTTTGAGAATTATTTTGGCGTCTTCTTGAATACTTTTTCCACTTCTCTCCCAAAGGAGTATTCATGATTGAGTTTTACATAGAGAATTTTGGCTTTATGTTTAACACCAACATGGGCGATCATAGGTGGCTGATAGTAGCTATCTCATGTTAGTATTTATTGATATTGTAGGTAAAGGTACCATGCCTTTTGAACTTTATTGATTTTAAAGCTTTTTCTAAGCTCTTATTGTTGATGAAGGAACCTAATTTCCAACATGTCAAGTTTTTTGAATATGGTCAATATGTAAAAAAACTCTTGCAAAATGTCATTATAGACCATAATAAGTACGATGTTGTCCTCGCACAAACATACATTAATATCCAATCATACCTATGAATTTTTGGCAACATCCTCTTCGATAACAACAATGTGATCTAAAGATCACCCACCATAAGCAGTCTCCATAAAAAAAATCAGATATTTTGAAGTCACCTAATTCAATATCTTGATCCCCTCATAATCGAACGCAAAAATGATGAGGGATGCTTCTTGTAGTATTATTTGAAATGGATAGCCATATTTACAATTCCCTTCCTGGTCTGATCTCAGATCAATATGTCATCCAAATCCTCTCAACAAATATGACCATTTGTAATAGAAGCCGAAGAAACTAACTAAAGATAGTAATAAGTATGATTGACCAGACTTTTGTTTCTTTGAATTATGTCAAACTTCTGCATTTTGATACAGATGCCAATCAATTCAAAAACAAAATTAAATCAGCCAAGTTGAAATTCTATGATTTACAGGATAGGAAATGTGACAGTTGACATGATGAAGAATAACCAAAAAGATCTTGGAGACCAAAAAGCCTTCTCAGACCTCCAAACATTCAAAAGTTATTTGTAAATTGTCATAGTAAGTGCCAGTTCTAAACCTTATCATCATCCTTATATTATTCCCATCATTTTGTGCCAACCAATCTTGAAAAGATCACTCAACTTCCATGGATTCATTGAAACTCCAAATTCTATTCATGATGCTCAGGAATTTAGAATCTTTTGACATACTCTGGATTTTAACCCTCCATATCTCATTACACGATTTCCTGAGAACAATCCATTGTTGTCACCAGTGGTCAATAACTCCCCAATTTAGCTGAAAATTATAAGCATAAGCTACTTCCTATAAGCATGCACATAACTGCTTGATACAAGTTCACAAACAACAAATTCGAAGTTCACAATGGAAATTTTTTCCGTTTAAAAGAGCATTACAGCAAACAATCAAAAGAAACCAAAAATTTATGGAAAAAAAAAACAAACATTAGACTCGTAGAAAAATCTACGGGATGGCACAATTTTTCGTGGAGCAAGGGAATAAAGAGACCGAAAAGGGCTTACAATCGAGCCTTAGGGATTGGAAGGGGATGGAGTTGCCCAGAATAGCCCTCACTTCTTCCAGCTTTTTAGCATTCCCGGTGACGAAAGTGACCGGGCGTGTAAGCACTCGCATCGCTCCTTCGTTTCCCGACTGCGACGACTGCGACGACTGCGACGACGGCGACGCTGAATGCCCCCCGGACATGGTTCAGCAGGCTTGCACCGCAGAGTTCATCCAGGGGCTGCTTCTCTTGGAGCTGAAAAAAGAAAAAGGGCACGCATGTAAATAAATAAATATAATGTTTTTAAAATATTTAAAATAATTTAATTGAATGTAAAATACATAAAATAATTATACTTTTTATCTCTCCTAACTCCTAAGTCATAATTTATACTTTTTTATTAATATTTTTATTTGATCAAATATTTAAACAAATGGAGAAAATATTTTCAAATTGAATTATGAGGGATATTTTAACTTGAATTATACTTAAGCTTAGTTTCAGTTCCAGGATTAATTATTATGTGCGGATGCCAAACGTCATTCGGAGACCAACAAGAATGTGTCACGTCACCCCTTACTCTGTACCGTGGCTCGGTATTGCTGACGTGGCGCATTCTGGTTGGTGTACGGACAACGTTCTACGTCCGGTCTCCGCACAAAATAATTTCTCCAGTTTGAGATAGTTTTCTCGGTTTTACTTTTCAAATCGCAAACATTATTCCGTTTGCTACTACTTTTTAATAAATTTATGTGGTTCAAAACTTCCTTGTTCAATCAGAATTATTAGTTTGTGATAGTTTTAAGAAAATAGCTGTTTGATTTAAAAAAAAAAAGATATATTTATAATATTCATAGTAACTTTCAAATAAATCACTTTTCTCACAACAACTTTACAATCACTTTTATAAAATGTTGCAATACTTCCAAACATAATCTTAATTGGAACCATATTCGAAAACTTGTTTCATACTTAGTTCAATCTAATATAAAGCTATTTGTTTTGAGAGCCTATTGTTTCAAATAACAAAAATATGCTAGAACTAGTGTTCTATGAAGGAACCAAGGACTTGAGCAATACCAATGGTGATTCAAAGCAAAGGCAACCTATTCTAGACATGTCCTATAGATAAGACCAACCAATTTAGTATGTCCTCTTTGTTAGATTGAATAAAAAGCTATTTTCATGACCTTGTTCTTCCCTCTGTGCTCCTTTGTTTAGTCAATTATAATATAAGGGATTCAATATTTATTTTTTTACCAATATAATCAATAGCTTAGCTTTCCTTTTTATTTTTGTTGCGGACTAGAATATACGCGGCGGTAGAGTTAAGAAATTTTCGTCTTAACATTGTACGGATATCTAGCACACAAACAGAGAAGAAACAATAACACACGAATTTTTACGTGGAAACCCTGAAAGAGAAAAAACCACGGGGGCCTCGCCCAGTTGAAATAGTTCCACTAGTGTTTTATTTGAAACACAAGAGGCTGACTCGTCCACAAAGGTAGGACGATCATATTACAATGAATCTCTTCTAAGTTGAGATTCAATTACAAAGTTGAGCAGAGTTCCAACGTCACTAAGGAGATTGGGCGGAATTCAGGTGTCATCCGAAAGTTGGATTGAATTCCGGCGTCGAACAGAACTTTGATGTTGCTTAGGAAGAATTCTAGCGTCGCCCGGATGTCCGGGCGAATTCCGGCGTTACTCAGGCGGCGGGAAGAACTCCGGCGGTGGTCGAGGAGGAGTTATTCCTTTATATCCTTGTCTTCTCTCTTCTCTTCTTCTTCTCTTCTTCTTGCTTCTTCTTGCTTGGGGTCCCCTCTCATGAGAAATGATGGGTCTATTTATAGATTTTTTGGAGTGGCATAGCTTATAAATAGGTGTGAGATTAGGGGCAAATAGGGAGTGGTCGAATGGACGGTTGATATTGAATCCCTTGATTGTGCACCGTTCGTCAAACATTTGAAGGTCTTAATGATGTCAGAATTTGGCAATCTTGGGCTCGTTGGATTCGTCTCGTCGATCCGTTCGATTCGACAATAACATCGTCAAAATCGGAGACCGTTTGGTAACTCAAATTGTGGTATGAACTTTCCAACAGCACTTTGGGTGCTTGATTTGGGCTCATTTTGGGCTTGGATTGAGTTGAATTTGGTGTCGTTGGGTTCGTGTTTCCGAGACGCTCAGTTCGACTATTAGTTTGCTGAAATCGGAGTTTAGGTAATCCCGGATTTAATTTTTGAAGTTTCCGGGTTGATTTTGCCTCGAGATTCGTGCCCGGTCAAGATAATTTTTTTATGATATATCAATTTAAAAAAAAGATATAGCTATTTGCATGTTTCATTATATGGAATATAAAAGTTCATTACACCCGATATAGAATGTTGACATATTTTTATTTTTATTTTTTGCTTATACACTCAACCTATGTACTCACGCACTTTAATTGCCTTTGGATCTTTCCCCAATTTAGTTGTTGTTGTACCACTTATGTCTGATGATTTGAATTCTAAATTGCATAATTGGAATATTGTCTTAGTCATATACTGTAATGTTATATGATCTAATTGGAGAATTGAACTTATTTAATTCTATTATTAAATAACTCATCACTCAATAATTATAAACAGAGCTACTAAATTTTTAAAATATAAAAATAATAAAATAAACTTTCATTTCATCGAAGCGTAATTACAATACTCTAGATCACAAAGTCTGTACAATCAATATTAAATGTTGGATTACCTTTTCTTAAGCATAAAATAACAGAGTACGCTTAATTAGCTCAGTAGACTCTTTTCCTAACCCCTCATAGCTAACAATATTTAATGTAATTAGTACAAGTAGTTAATTAAAAAAAAAAAACACAAAGACTTGTGAATTAGTCAAGCAAAAGCAAAGGCTGAATGTTCTAGAATTCCAGCATATACCTGATCTCAGAGCTGGATCTTATAATTTTATAACCACATAACCACTTTCACAAAAGTTTTCGAATGCCGTACATAATACTTAATTTCAGAAATTCACTTTCATTTCATTTTAGTTTTCACTTTTCAAATAGAATTCATACATAAACTAAGAGTTTATTGAATATATATCCATAACATTCCTTAGACTTAATTTAGTAAAATATTTACATATGAAATGTAATGTTATCATTCACATGTTCAAAAATATGCTTATATCTTCATTTTCACTTATGCCTACCTTTACCTCCCACACTTGCTTTCAACAAGTGGGGTCATAATCCTCCCACATCTGCATCAGATAGATGAATTTAGAATAATATCTTTAGGGCCCTTGAAACATCACAGAGAAATGTACTTTTTTACATTTCAGAATAGAATATCTCTTATGTCATGTAATCCAAAATAAAATGAAATGCGACTATATTTAATGTTAAATGTTCAATGCAATGTACATAAATGCATAAATTATTAGTAAAGCTATAATTCTTGTAGAACATAATACTCATTGAATTTTTACTTTTAGAGGAATATTCACATGAACATTTCAAAACGTTTATATAACTATAGACTATTGAAAAAAGCTTTAATTCAATAATATAATAAAAAATTTGAAAGAAAAAAAACCGACCATTGAAAATTTAATTTTATATAGCCAAAATCTTCATAATAAAGAGTACACAAACATACAAAAATTCACACGATAAAAAAAATTGTAAAAAACCAAGAAAAATATATTTTTGTTCGTACATTTTAACAACTTTACTAGAATTGAAATAAGAGACATGGGTTTACGAGTCTTTAGCGAGCTATACAAATTTTTTTGTATTGGCCTGATGGGCGAATCCCAAACTTTGTCCTCCGAATCTCTCTCCCTCATTTTCTCTTTCTTCTTTCTCTTTCTCCTTCTCCTCCTTTCCTTCTCTGGCAACTGCTGGGGTGAATGGGATGAGCAAATGATTTCAAATATTTTAATATTATATTTTCAATATTTTGAACTAGCACCACGACATCCACTTTTCAACATCGTAACGCTCCCAAAGAATATTCTAGATGTCCCCATAATATGTTCACATGAGCCCCAAAGATGTCACGCTTGCCCAAAACTTATTTATTTGTTCATTTTCCCGAGAGCACAATGCCATGGCGTCATATCCCCTAGCGTTGCAACACCTACAAAAGTAATTTTCCAAACTTGGATTTCACCTTTTAAATCCCAAACCTTGATTATTTTCTATCTCATTCAATATTCTAAAACTCATAATTATCAATTAACTTAAAATTAATGACAAGTAATAGAAAATTACCTTAATTTTGATGACAGACATATACACACTCCCTCTTATTTTCTGGATCCAACACACACAATAGAGCCAAGTGAGCTTCTACACATTGTCTTAGTCGACTCTAGCACAAACATTACCTTAGATATAAGCTAGCATTCACACACCAACTAGTTTGGTGTTAATATACAAGCTAAGTTTGATGAATGGATTCACTCTAGTTCAATTGTATAGATTTCAACACATACATTAATTCACATTGTTGGCCAATTTTCATTTGACTACATGCATCCTACAACAATCTTGATCTCCAATGCATGCCTCACCATGATTGTGATCTCCATTCAATCACGAAAGTCCCACCACGATCACAATCTTGGTCAAACTTACCCAATTTGCCAAAATGGGCTTAACATAAGTGCAATAAGACATTTGATTCACCTCTACATATTTATTAGGTTTGATTCAAGCTAACATAAAACAACCCAAGACTGTTTTGATCCGATTTGACTAAACTCAAAATTATTTCCCAATGAACAAATTAGTGCAATTGATGAATATCTCAATAATTGTTTAAGGCTCCCTTATTGTTTGCAAATTTGTAAGAAATGAAATAAGATAAAGAAGCTTGAATATCGATACGCTCGCTTACTTATATTTTTGAACTCAACAAATATCTTGCTAGCAACTTACTAAAATACTTATTTAATATTGATTCAAATACTTCTCCGAAGATTTATTATATGCAATTATATAAATCATCTCATGCCCTTTAAATAATATGTATAAAATTTTACCATTTGAGGTATAAGTGTCATATACATATCTATAAAATGCATAAATATATTGATTAAAATAAAATTTGTAGATGTTTGAACATCATAAAATCATATAAATAATGGGCATTTACATATTTCCCACATAACCTTTATTATTTACAAAAATATAGTATCATGTTAGATACATTTAAGATTTTAATGAGAGACTCAATTGATTTCACTTATAAGCTCTTCATGGCCTTCTCCATATGTCACTTGGACCGTCACTATCTTCTTCGGGATTGACGAGGAAGTGTGATAAACAAACAAAACCGTAATAAATAATATGAATATAATAGGGAGATATTATTTTTAATTATTTTAATATGTTGAATGCTAAATATATAAATAATGGAGTTTATGAGTAAACTATATCAATTTTAATTAAAATAACATAACTCTCAATAAAAAATTAATTTGAAAATTTTGAAAAAAAAAAAATCAAAAGGCCCACCGTTTTCTGCAATACCTAATTGCCTCGAGCAGCCTATAAATAGAAGGTTTCTCTCTGGCATCGTTTAACTTGCCGCGACGCTCTGTTCGTCGCTCTGTTCTTTCTGATCTCGCTTATGGGGTTAAGTGGAAGGCTTTAGGCTTTGGTGGTGCTTATTACACGCAAATTCTCCGGCCATGCGGCACCACGGCGCTCAGCTGGCACTTCGCTTCGCTCGCCGAACCCTTCAATCAAGCCTCTTTGGCGAATTGCCTGCCGCCGCAGTGAGATATTTTTTTTTGTAGCTCGATTCTTCTGGCATTATCTTATTATAGGTTTCATTCCCGATCTCCTCCTTGCCGCATTGCAGTTTAACCGTTCAGGGCGATGGTCCTCTGCTGGGATATGTACCTCGTCAAGGGTTCTCGGTGATTTGAATTGGCTGACAGGTTTGCTTTTTGTTTTTGTTTTTGTTTTTCCTGCCACTTTTCTTGCTGTGATGATTGATTTCGGTGGAATTTCTGGGAAATGGTCGATTGATTCAGATGAGTGGGTGAGTGGCCGTTGCAGTGGAAATATTCCAGGGAAGTGCTGTCAAAAGAGGTTTTTCCATGGTATGATGTGAGCTTTTTCTTCCATGTATGTTAAAATACTTGTTTGAGGATTTTCGATCTTCATCAAAATTTATTACAAAAGTTTTAAGTGCTGGTGCTTTGAGAGAAGATGTAAAACTATGCTTTGTTTTCTGTTGTAACTTTTAGGAACAAAAGTAATGTCGGTGAGAGATTATTATGATGTTCTTGGAGTGAGTAAAAATGCAACTGCTTCAGATATCAAGAAGGCATACTATGCGGTGAGTTTAAGCGCTTTAGAAATAGAAGAAATTTGTTTTCAAATGTAAATAGGGATTTATTAGTGGATTTTCTGAAAGCCAACTTGTTCTTTTATATATTAGATTGCTTTTGTTTATGAACATAGCTAATTTTTTATGTCATTAAAATTCTTGCTTATTTAGTAGTTCATTCAATTAAATTCTCATTTTTTAGCTCATTAGACTGCTCATTAATAGGCTATATAAGGTTCATTCAGTTAACTGATATGTTCCTTGATAGTGTTGCTCATTAATGTTCATTTTGTTAGCTAACATGTTGAGCTTAAACCAAGCTCAAACAAAACAAAAAAAATTCAAACGAATCTAGATTGAACACTACTACAAATGCTCGAATCAAGCTTGAGTTTGAGTTCAAGCTTGAACAAACTTTTTTTCTGCTCGGCTTATTTGCAGCCTATTATTCTAGCTTGTCCTACATTCTTTTTCCTTCATCATTGTAATAACCCATTCAACATTTGCCAACTCTTTCAGTGTTCCTCATTGACCTCTATAACTCAATTTTATGAGTTTTTTTAATATAATTATTGAAAAGATTATAATTTATAAATAAAAAATGAATCAAATTGCACTTTGAAGAGGGCCTTTTGTTGGCTAAAATTTTTATTAAATTATTAGGGGGTATAAATTGATGTTTGTTTTTAGCTTCTTGTTTTCAACTTTGGTTGTGTAAAAAATAATAAAATTTACATTAAAAATTTGTAATTTTCAAATGCATTTTGTGGTTCCATTTAACTTATTATTTTTATTGCTAACATCTTTTAAAATATGTTTTCTCTGTAGCAGGCGTGGTCAAGTTTGTTGCGTCGCTCCTAACATTGATTGCTCTAATAACTGAGTGTTTTTTAATTAGATTGCGAAAAAGCTTCATCCTGATACAAATAAAGATGATCCTGATGCTGATAGCAAGTTTCAAGAAGTTCAACGTGCTTATGAGGTGTATGAATTATTTATCTTATATTTTGAGTCATAATAAGCGAGCTATATGCTCCTTGTAGATATTCTTTAAACTACATGCTATGATTGACGACATTTGAAGACATGTTTATTTGTTTTGTAGGTCCTAAAGGATGATGAAAAGAGATCTATTTATGACCAGGTATTGATTTCCTAATTTAACCATGTAAAAGCATGTTAATTAATCATGATTTAATATCACTTGTATGATTAGTAATCTGCTGAGAAATTTGTTGTCGTGTTACAAAGGGGTTGTTGGCCCCTAGGCTGTACTTGTATTTCCCTTTTACCAATTAAATCAATTGATGTTGGCTTTCTTAAGAAACTAAATAATAGGTACATAGAAGTGCCAATTGATCATAGAAGTGTAGATGAGATGTTTGAGATGTTAGCCAACTAATGGAGGTGATTTTGAGTAAATTAGGTGTGTGATTAGGTCATAAATTTTGTAAGTAAATTGATCACAGTAGGTGGAAAACATGAGTTAGGATTTTGTGGTGGGTATATGGCTCGATTTTTTGTAATGTTAGAAGTGGTTTAATGCTTTGGGAAGATGGTGGAGATATATGAGAAGAGAAATAAGAAAGGAATTGATATTGTAGAATTCTCAAACTTTAATTGTGGTTACTTTGCAAAACAATCTAAAAGCTAGTAGTACAAATTCACAGACACAAAAATTTGCAAGAGAATGAAGCTTTTATTATTGAATCATGGGGGTATAATTAGTACATGAAGTGTTATACGAAAGGAAGGAAATTGATAAGGAAATATATTCCTCTTGAAAGTAGTTCAAAAAGGCCATAATGGTAGCCTTCCCTCAAGCTCAAGGTGTATTTATATTTGAAAACAAATAATAGAACTCTAATTTTAAGGATTCAATTAAATATTTGATTGATCATCTTAAATCTCCAACTTGAACTTATTTATTTGGTTTCAAAATATGATTTATTATTGAAAATATTTTCTCTAAATAATTCTTGGTGGTCATCATTTTTTCTCTAACATGAAAATAAAATAATAAGATTTAGTACTAATTGTTCTACCTTTTGGTCATGGATTTGGTGATAAGCCACCTGCCTTGGCTTGCATTGGTGATGGCACTATACATGCCCTGTGCTAAGAGGGAGAAGAGTTTGCTTGGTTAGGTTAATGCGGGCCAATTAGGTCGGGAATGTTTTACTTCTTTTCCATTTTGATATCTGTTTAAATGTTCTTGGAGATTAGTGCGCCAGCCAGCCTTAGGATCTAGGTTAATAATAAATTGTAATTCCTTCGTCTATGATACCATAAAATTTACATGTCAATGGCACAAAATGGCGTGCGTCATGATGCATTGTGCGACGCGGCTCATCTATAGTGCCAGCTGCATGGCGCTGCGCATATGTTCAAGTTGGCACACGTCATTTGCTCCATGCGTGCGCCATGGTGCACGGTGCGCACAATTTTAATTTCAGAGATTTTTTAATATTATTATAAATATTTTTTAATATTTGTATATTTAATTTCTAAAATAATGTAATAATTAATTTTAAAATTATTTGATATGATTAAAATAGTTTAGTTAGGTTTATTAAACGGGTTGGCGGGTTGCCCGCCGGGTCAACTCGAACCCGACCCGTTTTTGAAACGGGTCGATTTCTGGAACCCGAACCCGACCCGTTTTGAAATCGGGTCGGGTTCAACCCGGATTTTCCGTGTCGGGTTTTCGTGTCGTGTCAAATATTGACACCCCTAGGTTTGGACTTTGAACCACAAATATATTCAACCAAGCTTTACCCAACTTGATTGATACTCTAAAATAAGATTCATATAATAATTTTTATAATTATTTTTTATTTTACGCCGTGTTCAAAATGGCGTGCACCGCGCCGTGCGCTATGCGCCATGGCTCCACGGGGAAGTTTGCGCCGTGGTGCGCCATTCGTTGTTGGCAAGTATGCCATATATAATTGATCAGTTTCACTGCTGACATAAGTTTTTGGTTTTTGATAGTATACGGTTTATCTCCAATTGGGATGGTAATTCTTCAGTGCAGTTTGCCAATCCATCCACTTTTTTGTGGTTATCATTGGAACTATATATTTTTTCTTAAATCAATTTGATTTTTGTGGAGTTATTCTAACCAGTCAAAACAAATTGAATGGTTGTGATTTGTTAATTGCACCAATGCAATTATGGACTAATTTGAGAGAATCCATATCTTTTATGACAAATTTCAATTTTTTTTCATGTTTATGCTGCTAATGAATAATAATAAATATATCATTGTGCTATCCATCTTCAATTATGTTTGAGTGAGCTATTCGTTTCTATCATTTTGTTTGTATGGTTGTCATATAACAATGTTAAATGTCACAGGTTGGTCCTGATGCCTTCGAGCAAGCTGCATCAGGTGGTGGTCCTGGATTTGGGAGCCCGTTTGATGATTTCTTCTCTCATGGTGACATGAATGATGTATGTCATTTTTAGAATAATCCTCGTTATTTAATAAAATTTAGCATTGAGTAATTCTAATTCTGCTTTATTCTACCATCACTTTGGTGCTTGATTTAGTTCATGTGTTTTATATTTATCCTATTTTACTTTCCATTGAAATGGAGGATCTTTTTCTTTTCTTTGGTTTGAATTATGCTGATTGATGTTCTCAGCACATCCTAAGTGCTAATAATTGTCCTATGGACCTTAAAGTCCTCTTAGGTTTCCTTGTAAACAATAAGTTATTTCTCTCCAGTGTCTTGGGGCCTAATCTTTTATTTGGAAAAATAAATTTTTATGGTTTTGTCATTCCTTAGCTTCAATTTATTGTAGCCTGATTAGTTCTTAAATTCAATTTTTTGTAGCCTGATTAGTTCTTAAGGCCAGTTTGGTCAGGTCAACCTATCTTTAATGAAAGTAACATCTACCTGCCTCCCTCCTTTCATTTCCTTTTTACTTGTTCCTCTGCTCTTGTCCATTTTTTTGTTTTTTTTTTCCATGAACATTTTGTCTTCTTGCATAACAGCCTGAGGATAAAAGCTTATGGGGACAGAATTAAGTGGGTTTTTTGCTAGTGAAAGGTGATTGGAAATTTGAGATTGAATTGGGGGTTGTAGGTGCAAGGAGTGTGTATGGAGTTCAACTTTAACTAATTTCCTCTTAGTGGGGTGAAAAAACTGAGACTTTTCTAGCGGTATGCTTGGTGTGGGCTAAACAGAAACAGAGGTTCTGAAGCTACGATTGTTGAAGGTGTTGCACAGGTTGGGATTTAATTTTTTTTTTTGTTAAGTGTTTAAACCCTCTACAAGATGTTTGTTAGACCTGCAACGCTTTATGGTGCAAAATGTTGTCCATTAAAAGAAAAGCATAATATTAAGTTGTGTTGCTGAGATTAGGATGCTCAGGTAGATGAGTGTCTTTACTTTTAGAGACAGGATATGAAATGAGAATATATGTGAAAAGGTTGGAGTAGCTCCAGTGGAAGATAAGATTAGAGAGAGTCGCCTTAGATGGTTTGGTCACATAAAATGGTGGCATTTCGATGACCTGGTTAGGGAATTAGATGTATTAGATTTGACTTATGTTAAGAAAGATAGTGGTAGACCTAAAAAGACTTGGTTAGAAAATATTAGAAATGACATTTCTTATTAGATTTAATTGAGAATTTAACTCTTAACATGACACAATGGAGAAAAATGATTCATATAACCAACCTCAAATAGTGGGATAAAGGCTTGATGTTGTTGTTGTTGTTTAAACCCTCTAGTCATAAACAAAGCCAGGTCGGATGATCAGTCTGATCTTTCAGGTCTAAAGTTTTAGCCAAGCCTGGTTGTATGTGGTGCCAGGTCAATCGATCCAGGCTGGTCAGTGGACTTGGGACCTGGTATACTTGATGCATAAATTGTTTAACGAAATCTCCATTACTGAAATTAGTCTTCTTCGGTTGTTTTTTTATCTTACAGATCTTTAAAAGCATGTTCAGAGATGGCGAGTTCAGTGGAGAAGATGTAAAGGTTGGGCTTTATGTGCTTCTTTTGCTAAGCATTATTACTATAGCAATCTGTCTCCTATCTGCAAAAAGATGACTTAATGAACATATAGGTTTCTCTTGAAATATCATTCATGGAAGCTATCCAAGGGTGCACCAAAACATTGTCATTTCAAACTTCGCTTACTTGTGAAGCTTGTGGTATTATATCTGTTCCTTTTATACAAATGGTTTGGAGGTTTTTTTTGATGATTTCGGCTTGATAAACTTGTTTGTAGTTATTATTGATGCATCATATTTTTAAAGGTGGGAGTGGTGTGCCGTCTGGAACCAAGCCTGAAACTTGTCGAGCATGCCGAGGCTCAGGATCTGTACGACACAGCTATATTAACAATTTGATTATTTTTTGTGCATGTCTTGGTATGTTAGCTGTTAATGGTTTTAGTGTTTTCCACATTCCTGCAGATATTCATGCAAAATGGGCCTTTTAGGATGATGTCAACCTGTTCGATTTGTGGTGGTTCTGGGAAAATGATGAAGGTATGGTTTTTAGAACTTTCTAGAATCAGCAAAGCAACCAGTTTTGATTCATCGCGTCTGTTGAATTTTTGTCATGAAAATATGAATTTCATTTAGCTTTTTGCTAGAATCTCTGCCGAACATGCAAAGGCCAGAAAGTTGTAAAAGGCACAAAATCAGTCAAACTGGACATCATGCCCGGTGTGTACAATCATATGGTGGTTTCGTGGTGTTCAATATCTAAATTTAATGGGGATTACAGCTAATATATGCTGTTTATTTTATCTCTCAGGGGTTGATGATAATGATACAATAAAAGTTTATGGAAGTGGTGGTGCAGATCCTGACCGAAATAAGCCTCTTGATCTTTATGTCACTATAAAGGTAGATGGTATTTTCTATTTATCCTAGTAATGGTAATGGTAATGAAATGAAGGAAATAGTACTCACAAATTCGTATTGTAGGTCCGGCAAGATCCAGTTCTCAGGAGAGAGAAGTCTGATATACATGTGGATGCTGTTCTAAATGTCACTCAGGTATTATGTTATCTAAACATTTTTTATAAGCATGCGTTGATTTCCTTAAAGGGAAATTTACATACATACCACTTTATATCATCCTATTTACATATCTAACGCCTAAATTTTAATATTACATACATACGACCTTATATTATTTTAATATCAAATATACCACTCATATTTTCTTCCTACCACTCATATATTTCATTTCTGTCACTCATATTTGATATGAAAATATACTATTGGTAGTATGTATGTAATATTAAAGTTCTAGGTGTTAAATATGTAAATAGAGTAGTATAGGGTGGTATGTATGTAAATCTCCACCTTCTTAAACCAATTGGTATGAATTTTTTCTCCTTTCATGAAGTGAATGCACAATCCATTTTTCCTCTGTTGGTTTATTGAGGTCTTTGTTTTTTTGTGGTATAGCTTGTGCATGTTTGGTACACTAGGTTGAAGAATGGATTTGCTTTCTTAACTAAATTAATGATCATGAGCAGATATTTGATTGGTGTAGACCTAGAAGAGAGCTTGAGAGAGAAAAAGTGAGGGAGAGTGAGAGAGAGAGAGAAGAGAAAGAAAACAATGAACTTGTGTGAGAGAAAAAATACTTGACTTCTTGTTGTTCTATTTCTTTTGCTGAAGAGTTACAATTGGAACACTTGTTATCCAGAGATAAATAGCAAGCCAAATTTTATTTATGTATTCCATCATATGATGACCTTTTGCATTCCTTACTTTCTTTTTCATGAACTGAGCTACGGCATATAATTTTTCATTGAAATAAGCAATTGAGTGTTTGTCTTGGCTAAGTACCCGACCAATACCTATACCTAATGCGTACAGGAAACCTCAAAAGTGATGAAAAGGTGCTAATGCTTTGAATAATTGAGGATGGATGAACGCAAGCGGCACGTCAATATAATAATATGATAATTACTTATTTTTCTCCAATTCAAGCTAACCACCAAGCTAAGTTTGGAAAAGAGGCTAATCTTACTTTGTGTTAATAAAACTCCCATTAGCTGTCTATGGCATGGCAGGATAGCTTTTTTATAAGGAAGCTGCTTTCATCTAATTGTAAGCCATATGCTTTTGCCATTAGTTGGAGTTTATAATTACCTTTCTAATTAAGAAAAGTTTGTTGGTTTGAATTTCCAAGAACTCCTCTTGTAGTATGTGTGATTATAACTAATAACTTTTTCAACATATGTTCTTCTTTCTCTATTCACTGAAAATATCTTGCCCTCTTTTTTGGGAGAACTTAAGCATTCTTGGAAAAGTTCTCGCACTTTGCCAACTATTCTACTTTTTTTCCCACTTATCTCTTTTATGGCTTCTTCTCATTCCATAAAGAATTGGGTAGAAGAGAATGGTGAAATGAGGATACAATCAAAAGAGGGTTATAAAGGGCGTGTTTAGCTAGTTCTTTCTTATCCAAACCATGATCTACATGTTTTATCGATGGGCTGTTGCTATATTTGCTGTTGGAGTCCAGAAAGACTACCAAAGATTTCTCAGTTAGGGACTTACGATCTCCTCACTGTATTGTTGTTCTCTTCTAGAGGGGCTTTTAATCATTATCTAAGCAGTGATCTTCATGATTTGTCAGTTTGCTGTTGCTATACTAGTTGTTGGGTGCTAGAAAGACTGTTCATTTTTTTGTACTTCTCTTCCACTATCTTCAACTGTTTGTCCTTGGGTTGTTAGCCTCGGCTATGTGTAGGCTTGAGATCACCATTTGCTGCATTCGAACCTCTTGAATAGGTGGTTATGCTAGAACTCTTGGTGCGATGAGGGTCAGCCTGGAACAGGGAAAATTATTCTGTGCGGAGTCCGAACGTAGAAGATCTTCTGGTTGCTACGTACATACTGCGTATTTGTAGATACACAACAAATCAACAATGCTCACTAAATACTCAGCAAAAACTCAGTAAAAATGTAGAAAATACTCACTAAATACTCAGCAAACACTCACAACTAATGATTTGGTTTAGTATTTGTTGCGTATTTACAATACGCAGTGCGTCTCTAGTGCATACGCAGCACTGGACGATCATCTACATTTGGACTCCGCATAGAATAATTTCCCCTGGAACTGAGCCTAGGGCTTAAGATTGCTTTATCAATTTTGAAAGCTGTGCCGTTGATGTGTTAAGTTGCGACATATGCATTGTCACATGATAAATCTCCATGAAACGTTGCTGATAGAGTGGTGTGATCCTACGGTCCTCCTCGTTCATCTTATCATCTTTCTGTTGTTGTCCATGGATACTTTCCAAAATAAGATTCATCTAATTACTTTTTGGATCTTTAAAAATATCATAAGCTGAATGTTTTCTTATACTCTATGCAGGCTATATTGGGAGGTACTGTTAATGTCCCATCCCTTACTGGAGAAGTTGTTCTTAAGGTTTGTCATAATTTGCCAGAATATATGGCTTGTTTCCTTGAGAAACTACTTAAAAGGCTTCTCATAAACGACATATTGCTAAGAAGTTTGTTTTCCTCTGCCAGGTTCGGCCAGGAACTCAACCAGGTCAAAAGGTTATTTTAAAAGGGAAAGGTAAGGCTCAAATAACATTCAAAACACATACATACATCCCCACACTAAGGGGCTTCGTGAAATCAGTTTATATTTTTTGTATACTGTTTTAAATATGTATTTGATTTGTGTTCTTAAAATTTTTAGTTTTTTTTTTAATAAATCTAGCTATCAAAACAAAATCTCATAATAGTTTTTGGGTTCTCTCTCTCTCTCTCTCTCTCTCTCTTTCAATGAAAACCACCTCAGCTAGTTGCCGGGTGCTATCTGATAGGAATCACTTGTAGCTCTCAAGTATTTCCTATCAATCTTTGGAAAACAATGAAAATTTTTCACAAAAATCCACACAAAATCACGAAAACAGTAGATAATTTGTAGTATTTGATGAAATAGAAACGAAAAATAGCAAGATACAGTTGATACTCAATTCGAGAGGAGGATCGATCTCTCCCAAATTCTCTAGACACTACTAGAGCCCAAAGGAAATCTAAACCTAAGAAATCTCAAATTTCAGCCAAATTCAAGATGTTTTAACCCTAGGAAAATAAATTATTTAATGCATACAATCAAAAAGGAAATCTCTAAACAGTCCCTACATTCAAATTTACCTCCTAACTCCCTAAAAAATCCTTCCAAATTGGCTCCCATGGATCTTGCGGCTCGTGTGACTCGTATAGGAGGCGGCTCTTCCGCCTCTTGTTATGTTGACCGGTCCAATGGACTGGTCTAACACTATATCTGTCGCCAACCAGCCGACGGTGCTGGCCACTACCTCTCCCACTTTCCGCATAAATTAATTTTTGTGATATTCAATAAAAATAAAACAACAACTATTTATAATATCAAATATATTTTTATTTCAAATTAAAACATTAAAAAAAAAAAAACAAAGCAAGAAATCCCAAATGGCCATCAAATCTTATGCTGGACATCAATTACATATCAAAAAGAAATAAATGAAGATGGCTGAGGACTATTTTCACCCTTTTATCTTTACAAATATTATAATTTCAAACTCAGGAAGAACGGCTCAATCATTGGAGAAATTATTCTGTGCAGAGACCGGACGCAGAACGCCGTCCTGAGACCAACCAGAATGCGCCACGTCAGCAGTACCCAATGCAGGGGTGACGTGACACATTCTGATTGGTCTTCGGACGACGTTCAGCGTCTGCACATAATAATTAATCGAGCCATTGACATCTCATCCTTTTTCTTTCTTCAGGCATAAAGACAAGGAATTCTGCTTTCTATGGAAACCAATACGTTCATTTCAACGTTACAATACCATCGTAAGTTTTCTCATAAACCTGAATATATTTTCACTGGAAAGTATCGTACTGTATTTCCTGATTTGTGCCTTGAAAGCAGAAACCTGACTGAGAGGCAGCGTGCTCTAATTGAGGAGTTTGCCAAAGAGGAACACACAGAAGATGATAAGGTTGCTGTAGCTGCTGCATCCTCAAGATGAGTTCTTTCCACATATACATGTATATGTAAGTCATAATTATGGGATATTTATTGTAGCAATTTAGCATTATATTTGTCTTTTCCTTCAAAAGCTTACTTGCTACATTTTGTAGCCATTTTTTTTTCCATTAAAAATGTTATTAAACTAAGGCCTTCAAAGTTGCCTTTGTGACTTGTACATATAGGCTAAATTAGGCTGGTAGAAATTTGTGAAGGCCTTAGAGATGGAATTTGGATTTATAAAATCTTCTTTCTTTAAACTTTGGTGCATTTCAGCCATGAATGTTTAACATGGATCATCCTACATCGTGAATTAATGAAACCTTTAGGAATCAATGAAACAACATCAATTCAAATCCTATATATTCGAATTTAAAGAGATCGAGAATTCTCACTATTCCTTAGACTTATGGATCAAATTTGGTTTGGTAGGATTTTTCACCCACATTCTTTTCCATCAAGAACGTTTTATGAAACTCTTTAACCCTTGAATTTGGAGCAGGAGTGATGAATAAAATATTATTTTTGTTCTACCTTTTGACCTCTTGCCTCACCATTTATCAAGCAAAAGCTATTGTACAATGTTGCTTTATTGGCCTATATACTGATTTAAAGATTTAACATTAGATTAAGCCTAAGGTTTCATTGCGACGGCTTTCTTACCGCTTAAAATAGTTTTTTTTGAACTAGAAAGCTGTTTTAAGAAGTAGTGAGAAAATCGTCTCGAACGAAGTCTAAATTAGATTAATCAACTATTTCTGTGGCCTTGAGGTGAGTTCGCATTGAAATTTTCTTTTGAAATTCAAGTAATTGACTGTTTGGGATAGTTTTATCTCTATTTGCTTTTCAGACTGTTTATTCATTAGTTTGGAGAATTTTTTCAAAATTTTCTTTGGTGAGAAGCTGCTTTTAAGAACTAGAACTATTAGAATGTGATAGCTATCAGAAAGCTGTAGGACGATTTCTTTCATAAAAAAAATAAATATTTATAATATTCATATTCTTTTTTTTTAAATAGTAAGAAAGTTATCTCAAATTAAGTCTTAGAATAATTTTCTTACTGCTTTATAAATTAAAGTTTAGTATATTTTTTTACTATTTCTTAAAATAGTCTTTTCGTACATTTTTTTTTAATTAATAATTTTTTTTATTAAAAAATTGCTTTAAGAAAGTTATCTCAAACGAAGCTTTTGGATAGCTTTCGTATTGTTTTATAAAGCAATTTATTAGTATTGAATTTTTTTGAATTTAATTATTTTTTATTAGAAAGTTGTTTTATAAAGCAGTAAGAAAGTTATCCTAAACAAACCTAACACTAACCAACAATTTTAAAAACAATACAACCTTATACAAAATAATTGAAATATATATAACAAAAACAGCTTATGGAATTTTCCTAAATTTTGAATGAGATCGCCACAAGTGAATGAATCAATGAGTTTTTTTTCTTACAAACACTTTGAATCTTCTTTAAGATAATAAATTATTCATCACAAGTTTATTTCTCTCTATTTCTTTTTTATCAATATTTATACTATTGGAATATTTATTATATATAATCAATGAATGAGATTGAAAAATAATCCAAAGCATTACTTTTTTATATGATAAAATTTAATAATTATAGTAAATTATATGGTATATTAGTAAATATGAAAAAATTGAAGGGGTCATACCAACAATAATAACAAGTTTTTATCCTACTATCTAGGGCCGATTATATGGAGCTTTTATTCTGTACGGAGATCCGGATGTGAGAACCGTCTGATTAAGTATTGGGTACCCAGCGGTACCGAGTGTGGGTACCGAGCTGGGTACCCACCAATGAGGTGACGTGACATATTTTTATTAGTCTCCAGATGCCCTTCACACTCCGCACAGAATAATTCTTCTGGCTACATGGCAACAACAACAACAACAACAAGAAACCGTTATCATGCTATGTGGGGCAGTGGGGCCGAATACATGAATTAACATAAATTTTAAAAAAATTAAAGGCAAATGATATTTACTTAAAAAAAATAAAATTATGATATACATAATAAATTTCAGAATAAAAATCCCCTATAATAATTTAATAAATCGTTTTATAAAAAATTATAGTCATCACAAATAATTCTCTCTATATATATATATATATCATCAAAAATTTATCTTGATCAGAAACAAATCTAAAGGTAAAGGCAAAATCAAGTTTGAAATTTCAAAAAAATTAAGTCGGAGACCATCCATCGAATTGAACGTCTCGAAAATACAAACCCAACGACACCAAATTCAACTCAATCCAAGCCCAAATGAGTCTAAATCAAAGACCTGAAGCACATTTGGAAGGATCAAACCATAATTTAAATTAACAAATGGTTTCCAAACATGACATGCTTATAGTCAAAGCGAGCTGCTCGACGAGATGAATCTAACGAGCCTAAGATCGCCGAATTTTGATATCATTAATACATTCGAATACCCAATAAATGGTTCATGATCAAGAGATTCATCATCAGCTGTCCATTCAAATCACTCCTAATTTAGTCTTGATTTTTCTTCTATTTACTAGTCATGCCACTCTTAGAAAAATATAAATAAACATCTCATTTCTCATGAGAGAGGGAACCTAAGCAAGAAAAGAAAGAAGGGAGAAGAGAAGAAAGAAAACTCTCTTGCCACTATATTCTTCCTCGATCATCGTTTGATTCCACCCGGCAGCAGACTAACATCAGAGTTTTGCTCGACAACCGATCGATGCCAGACTTCTAGCCGAAAGCCAATCGATGCCAGACTTCTACCAGACAACCGACCGACGCTGGATTCCTGCCCGACCACTAAACATCGTCGTATTTCCGACCTTCGCTCGTAAATTGGATTTCAACCCAACAACTAATTATTGTAATATGATCGTCCTCAATTTCACGGATGAGTCAGTCACTTGTAATCCAATCAAACACTAGTATAATCATTTCAACTGGGCGTGACCCTGTAATTTTTCTCTTTTTTTTTAAGATTTTTCAACTATAAATTATGGTGTTTCTTTTTTCTTCTGTTCCTATGCTAAGGCAAAAAGTATCTTGAATATTCTAGCCAGATATAAATAATGCATGAAAATGTCAGTGCTTAGACTTTATTGAAATAAATTAAAATTTAAATATTTGGACCGTTAAAATTTTTTCATAAATCCACCCATCTATCTTCCGAGCAAAATAAGAGGCTATAGAAGGTACGCCTCGTAATTCCCACCATTTCCACCGGGCTTCCTCGGCAGCGGCTAGATGGCTCTTCCCATTCCGCCAATCTCCCCTCTCACCATCCTCAACCCTAACTCCCCTTCCCCGCTCTCCACCGCCGCCTCCCCTCGCACCACCGTCGTTCTGCCGGTTGATCTCTCTCTCTCTCTCTCTCTCTCTCTCTCTCTCTCTCTCTCTCTCTCTCTCCACGCTTTCGTTCTCTCTTTCAAATGAAATGGTCTATGGATATGCAGGGGTTGGGGAACAACAGCGGAGATTACCGAGGCCTCTGCTGGACGCTTAGGGATGGCTACGGTATCCCCACCGTGGTGGCGAAGGTCTCCCGATTGGACTGGTTTCGAAATGCCGCTGGTCTTCTGGACTCCAACTATTGGAGAGGAACTCTACGTCCAAAGCCCGTTCTTGATTGGTATTTCCTTTTACCCATTTCCATGCTTCTTATAGGCTCTCTAAGCATTCCTCTCGGCTCCAAATGCCATGATTGAAGTCAATTAATGATTTAGGTATCTGGAAAGAGTTGCTGAGGCGGTTTCCGAAGCCAGAAAGCTTTGTCCGCAAGGTAAAACTTTTTCTGATACTTATTTGTGAAGCTTTGATTCAGAGAGATGTGTTTTGATTAGATCTTGGTTCGCCCTGTTGCAGGACAACAAAATCGTCACGCTTTTGAACATATATCAATTGATGGGTTGTTTGCCTACAAGTTCGGTTTAACTATGTAGGAATTAGGAAATGTTGTAATCTCAAATTTAGTTAACCTTGAGACGGTTAAAACTTGAAACTTGTTTGGCATGACAACAGTTAATCTTGCTAAATTTTAATAAATTACTTAGCTATTTGTTTCTTATTTAAGATTTGTGAATGGGAGAAATATTGATATCTTTTAAATTCTGTGAATGATGAGGTTTAATAAATGCTGGTTTTAATAAATTATGGCGCTTAAACATGATTTATCAAAACAATTGTATTTAAAATTCGTAATTTTTTTTTGTAGGATTTAAGCTGAATTCGCATAAATCCTGCCTAAAATAGGATACCAAAAAACCCATTTAGATTTTGTTTTAGTTGGTTTATTGATTGGAGAGATTGCTTATTGGCATTATGTTCAGGAGGGAGCCTTGCATTGATAGGACACTCAGCTGGGGGATGGCTGGCGCGACTCTACATGGAAGAATTTGGAACGTCGGATATCTCTTTGCTGATCACCCTAGGGACCCCTCACCTGTATGATTCCATTATGATAGCATGTATGCCTCTCTTCGGTTACACATTAAGTGCTTACCTTTTGACATTGCAAATAACTAATTTGCAAAGAAACTTACTCATAATCAAATGGAAAAAAATTGTTTTAGAATATGTTGACCAAATTTGGTCATTTTGTGTCTCAAAATTGTTGGATTTATTTTGCGGTGAGTGCAATATATGAATAATCAATTACAATATGTATTGCAGTCATCTCAAAATAAATTCAATGAATTTGAAAATCTTCTTGACTAGAAAAAAATGTCAAAGAATTGTGACCCTTTTTTCCCTATTTTAAATGTAGTCCTACCAATTGAAATAGAGTGTAGTAGTGATAACTTTTGTTTTTGCCATTAATATGCTATGCTCATTTTGCGTCAAAGGATCTTTTGTCTTGGAATGATTTATTCATGCATTTATGGCTTAAAGAATGGTCAGGGATGCTTTGTTTGTTATTATCTCAGGCATTAAATGCCTTCTTTCTAAGCAATCAGGAACAAAATGGGTTGCATGCTAAACGTATTTCCTGTATTTGTCTATTCTATGTTATTCAAAGAGATATGATCAATTACGTCACAGTGGTTTATTTGCAAATCAATGCCCTATTATATTTCATATAAACTAAATGTTTTAGACAATCATGATCCATTTTATTTCTTCCTTTGCTATGAAGTTGTTGCGGATCTATAGTTTATGATTTTGATGATAGCAAACATTCCTTATTTCTCTACGATTGTCTTATGTGCTAACGTTTCAGCCTTTCAGGTTCACACGATCAGACTACAATTTGGAACCAGCTCAAGATTGGGTAGACTAGGTCTGAGTCAGTTTGTAATCTTTTTCTTTTCTTAAGTCTGTTGTATTTGATGTGAGACCTATTGTTTTGTAACTTGGAAGATTTCCTGTTGTTCCCTATAAGATTTATATTTTTGGTAATATCGTCCGGGACGATATTTATATCGTCCTGGACGATCTGTCAAAAAATAGAAACCCTAATTAGGGCATCCTCATTAAGGCAGTCGTCATTAGCAGATCGGCATGGACGATACCTGTATCGGCCAGGACGATACCTGTATCAGCCAGGACGATAGTCTAAATTCAGAAAGAATCAACCGCCATAATCAGTTTAGGAATTCTTTGTTTTAAGAAATCGGCAAGGACGATATGTATATCGTCCAGGCCGATCTAACTCAATTATGCCTAAATTGAGCTGGTATCTTTGGAAAACATTAATGGTTGATTGATACGATCACATCGTCCGGGACGATGTCCTAGACGATCTACATCGGACAGCTCAAATTCAGGGCTATGATCAGGACGATTGAAATCGGTTTTAAACTAATCGGCCTGGACGATCGTGATATCATCCAGGACGATGTAACCAATTTTCTTCTGATCGTCCCAAATCGTCCCGGACTGATGAGCTGAATTTGTACTGATCGGTCAGGACGATATACCTATCGTCCTGAACGATAATGTCGGCAACTTGCATTAATGAGCTTGTTTTGAGCTTTTCTATTTAAGCTTGGCATGACACTTTGTAAGTGTCTTTGGCAGCCATTGTAGCTTCGTTCTTGTGGGGGAAACTTGAAGAGAGAGCTTGAAAGGGAGAGAAGAAAGGGTGGAGTTTGAGAGGGAGAAGATCCTGTGAGGGGGAGGAACTCAAGGGAGTGTGGTGGGGGATCCACACAGTTGCTCCGGCGAACTCGCACCTTAGTACCATCGGATTCAAGGCTTGTCTCGAGGTAAGTTCACCAAAGAAGATCTCCTTGGTGTCAAAGGACCCGGCGACTCCGCTGCACCGTGGAAGGTAAAAGTGATTTTGTAAGGGCTTCTCCGCCTAACTGTGGGGGCTAAAGGAGAGACACTTGTTTTAGTGCAATACTTGGAGGGTGCCTCCTAGGAGTGGACGTAGGTCAAGGTTTGACCGAACCACTATAAATCCGGTGTGTTCTTTTCTTATTATTGCTTCCGCATTTATTTAATTTCCGCACTTTGTTTGTGGTGATTTGGTTTGTGATTTTATTTCTTTGTGTAAAGAATTTTTATTATCCAATTCACCTCTCTCTTTGTTAGCCTTGAGCCAGTTCTATAGGGCTTAACATCCCTAACGAACTCTCAGAAGTTACTATTGAAAATCATTAAATTTATCAAATTATAAAATTTCATGATAAGAATCAATGTGTAATTACGTTTCGTACTCACATGTTTGAATAAACTCCAACTCTATTTATAATTCGACAAATCACATGTTAGGTTATGTATTTTAGTTGCAAAACTTTATAAGTGTGGAGCTCCTTGGCCATAGATTAGCCACCAATCAACTATAAATAATGAAGAATTTAAGAACACTCATTATTATTTAAATATCAAATTATCATGCAATAATAATTATAAATTTACTAAAATATGTTACTTGGGGCTTGAATGGTTCTTTATACTTAGAATAATACTAAAAGTCCTTCACCCTAATGTATACACTCAATCATTACTAATTTCATTTTTTTCATCGACATCTTTAGCCAATCTTTCAATGCATGCGTTTAATTCATGAGATATTTCCTTGACTTTTACAATATTAGGGTTATTGAAAAATTATTTTGGATATGAAAAAGTGCAGTTGTATGCAAAAGTCAACGGAGTTACATTTTCCATCTTCTATCAATAATCACAAAAATTTATTTTGTATTTATCACTATCAATTGCTTTGTGTGTGTGTGTATCCCATTGGAGGTTTTTTCTTCCTCAATCAATCTAAGCTCCTTCAACAACTAGCCAATTATTTTGAGGGTTGTTATGTTTTCTTTGCATAAGGACCCAACATAAATTCCTTGCATGTAAACTTTTTTTCAAATGCAATTGTTGTTGATGAAAATATTGTAATGTCAAGAAAGTAATAGCAAAACGAGTCTTGAAAGGCCTTATTAGTGATATTTGATTTGTATATCTTCTCATGAAATCAAGCAATAGAGGTCTTGAATAAATGAACATATGCGCGCCCTTGTTTTCTCAATGTATTGTCGTGGTTTTTGAATCTTAAATATAACTTCCATTATTAAGTTAAAAAAATGAGCAATTGAAGAAGTCCAATAAAAATTGAGTATTTTATCCATTAATAAATTTTCTATAATAATATTTAAAATCATTCAATAATAAACTAGTAACATATAAAAATGTTTATAACTTAAACCAAATGGAAATTTACGGTGAGTGTAAAACTTGTAAAAGTTTACTGAAAAGCATTATCATTAATCACTTGAACTATACTATGTGGTCCACTCTCTTCAATAATTTTACTCAATAAATCAAATATCTTCACTAGATTATTTGAGTAACAACTGTCACCTATTGACTCTATGAATACAGTTTATTTTGGACAATTAACAAAAAGTCAGCTACTTTTTCTATTACGGGATATCTAAACATCAACTATAAGAAAACCATAAGAAAACAAACATACCTATGGCAATCTTCTTTATGGACTTGCAGTAGTTGTTGTATTTATTCCACCTTTCTTTAAGGGACCTGCACCTTATAATGGCTTGAAGGTTTCATCGTAGGACCAAATTATTCAAATGTCTCTACTATTGCAGGGAAGCTATTATACTTAATAACATTAAATGAAATATTAACATCATACATCCAATGAAAAAGTACTTGAATTTCTCTCTCTTATTTCCTTCATAGCGATATCCATCTCTTTCTTCATTTCACTTTTTCTTTGCTTCCCTTGGTTCATTAACTATTGAAGTCATTGAATTTTAACTCACACATTAGAATAAATTTTCTATCCAACATTGGTGGTTGTCACACCCCATTTTGACTCATCTCCTATCAACTATGAGGTGTATAGAGGTGAATACTCTAGTCAGACATATTTTACACCAACACACATTTTGACTTTATTAATCAAGATCAAGTAAGTGAAAATAGTCATGTTAGATCGTCCCAAAATATGCTCATCCTTTATTAAAGTTATCATATTCATTGATACCAAAGTATGCTCATCCTAGGTTATTAGTAATATACTTAATTAAATATTTAATTAAACTATCCTATAAGCTATCCCCCCCATCATCTAGTCAATTTACTGTTGCATCAAAATTTCTATTTTTGCTATGGTACAATAGTTTTGCTATAGGAAATTTTATTTAATTAGGAAATTAATTATAAAATATTGATATACTTATTTATTTAAAATACTTTTATATATCAAAATTATTGAAATAAAATATAGAATTCTTTAATTTTTTTTCGATGTTTTCCAGGATGTAGAAAAAATGTGATATAATTTTTAGGAAAAATTTTCATCTCAACTTTTTAAAATTTTTGGGTATTACAAATATTTAGTTACAATGAGATGAGAGTAGAGATCTATGGAAAATAGCTTCTGTATGAACTACAATTCCTAACAATGGTTTGAGCTAGGGAGTGTGCGAGAGCTGAGGTTGCGAGCTATGTGTGGAAGAGGGTGAGAGTTTTTTATGTGCCAAGATCGAGTGAGAAGGAGCAATCTACGGAGGAAGTCATGAGCTGAATATATGCTATGTTGGATCAACGAAGAGGAGTATGTTAGAGAGATGCATGGAGAGGTGGTGGAAGAGGACTTCGACAGCAACGGAAGGAGAGAGCTGTGGTTGTCTGAGTTGAGTAGAACAATACATCGTCCGAGTTTGCCATAATTGGTGGAGATGGAAGGTGATTGCGCTTTATAGTGAGAGAAGTAGAGAGGAGTGACGGGCTGTGCAGTCGAGTTAGTTGGCAGACAAAGGAGTGACGGGTTGTACAGTCGAAGTTGGTTGATAGGCAGAGGTGGGATGGGTTGAGCGGTTGAGATTCTTTTACACACCATTAGAGCAAACTTGGATTCTTGATCATCTGATTAGGAATACCAGAGAATCTTGTTCCTAATTCCATAACTTTGTTGAATGGAGATGAAACAAAGGACTCTCAATGCTGAGAGAGAAAGGCGTACAGGGTGCTATGTGATAAAGTTGTAAGAGAGACTAGATGACCATGAATTGAAAAAGAGGGTCCTAATCTGTAGCGTATAACTTCACTAATTTGAATTAATAAATCCTTACACTTCAGTTTAACTGGCAAGGAAGATCTCACATTGAATCTATTCCTTATGTCAACATATTATCAAGCCGAACAGCCCCCACAGGAAAGGTTATATTCCATTCTTTACTTTTTTTAACATTGTTATTGCCGTTGGATGCTGCATAATCGAATTTTAATATTTTTTTGGTTTTCCTTGCCGTTGTCTTTTGTGCCTTGTAATTATTAACAGGTAGAGCTGCGTAGATTTTGTTTCCTTTGTTGATTTCCATGTAAATTGCAATGGTGCAAACATGAGAGAATGGAATACAGTCAGAAACATTATAGCAATTTAGAAACTATTCCATATATCTGTTTACTAAACTATTACACTGGGATATTTTTCAGGCCACCTCCAAAAGGTTTAGCAGGAGTGATTGATCAAACCAGGGGCCTTTTGGACTATGTTGAAAAGCATTGCGCACCAGCAGTCTATACATCAGAACTGAAATATATCTGTATTGCTGGAAGGTAATCTTCTATAAGACTGCTTAACCTTACGAGAGGTACTAACTGGTAAATAAACAGTTTATAAATGAACCACATATTCTCTTGAAATGTCATCTGTGTTATTTTCAAGGGCTCCCCGTAAGCTTAATGTTCTAACACCCAACGTTTAAGGTTAATGTCTCCCCCACCCCCCACCCCACCCCCAACAACAAAAAAAAAAAGATTTTTTTTTGAATTTAATCTCTCTCTCTATCTCTCTCTCTCTCTCTCTCTCATAAGGTTAAGAGAGAGAGAGAGAGAGAGAGAGAGAGAGAGATTAAATTTCAAAACAAATTTGACTATCTGCTGTTGAAAAGTAACATGAATTTTGCACCAACAATAAATCTCCAAATTAGTTATGGATTAAGAATTTTGAAGTTTAACTCAAAAGATTTTCTAAGTAACAAATATCAGGGATAATGAGAGTAACACCTGATCAAAATAAAATAGTTGAAGAAACTTTAGTGTTAAGGTTATATACAACAAAGGGATGAAGATTCAACTTAAATTAAGTAGAAATATACAGACAAACACATGCAAGCATACGCTATATATATATATATAACATGGCTAGAAGTTGTTTATATAGAGGCATGATTGAGCAAACACCTTTTGTACCGTCTTAATTAAGGGTGATGACATTAATAAAAATATAAGATGTAATAAAAGGTAATGATTGCACATCTGAAAATTGTAGTGATTATAAGATGACACTAAGAAATCAATATTATTTTTGCAGCTTTTCTTAGATCTCCTCACCGAGAAATCTGCATTATGAGTAGCAAAGATAAGCTTGTATTTATGCTTTTATGGGATTCAAAGAATGTAGCACCATAATCACTTGGATGTACGATGGCCAAGTAATTACTTGAAGTACATTCAAGCATTGCTTTCTATAAACCATTCAGAATTCTTAAGGGAGATATGCTTGAAGCTTATGAAGTTGTTAGCCTTTTTGCTTCTAGAAAATTCTTCATGCAAACCTTTCCGGTTTTCTTGACATTCTTATAGGGACCTTATATCAGAAACTCAGCTTCCCATTCTTGTGACATTGAATCACACCCTTAATTAGACTAATCTTTACAAACACATGGTCACCAACATCAAATTCTATTGTTTGATGCTTGGCATTTTAACACTTTTTTTGTCTATTTTGTATTGCTCTCAATTTATCATGAATAAGTCCAATCTTGTTAGAGGCCTCATCTATGGGATTTGAACCAATCAACCTTCTCTCTTAGGTTCAGTCCAATGTTGGGGTGTTATACTATTTTTTCTATGTAGTATCAAATTTGGTAATATTTAAATATTTAAATGAAAATTATTGCTAAATATTTAAATATTTAAATGAAAAATACTGTTATAGGCAAACTCTATTAGAGGCTTCTTAGCCTCCACCAAAGTGAAGGACACATGGCCTACTATATCTTTTAGAATTTGAACAATTCATTATGTCTGATCATTGACTTGAGGATGAAATGAGGTATTGAATGTCAAGTTTGTACCTAAGATTTCTTATGCTTCTCAGATCGCCAAGCAATTGTACAATCTCATGAACATAAATTTTGGCCAGGCTCACAATAGAATTAGTTTGCTCAATCGATTGAAATTGAGTTGACTTGGTCAATCTTTTAACAATGACTCATAGAATATCATGTCCTTACCTTAAAATAAGAATAGATATTACATAAATGTGATGTTGAAGGATAAATTTGGAAAGGCTAAATATATTCACTGTCCCTCTAGCTCTTTATATGACATATTAATAGATAAATTTATGAAACTTTACTCAACCGACAATTATTATATTCTGAGGTTTTCAAAGTTTATGGTTGAAGACAAACACTTACTAAGAGTAAATTGCATGTTATTAACATGGATTATGCTCATAAATTCTCTGTATCTATCTTTTGTTACTAAAACTTGTATGGAACATCCATCCAAAATATCAACAATCTTAGTGAAATTGCCTGAGCTGCTTTTGAAATATGCACTTAAAAATATTGATCCTCATGTCTTGTATTATTTGAAATGTAGATTTGTATCATTTGAAATGCCTGTGCTGCTTTTGAAAATACCCACTTAAAAATGTAGATTTAGAGAGGAACCTTTGTATGCTGTTCTATTGATGAAAGAATGCAAGTATCTACTTAAATATTTCCTATTCCATGTGAACTTTGCATTTAAAGGAATTTGATAGTATTTTGACAGGTATATTCAGGGAGCACGCTTTCTTAGTAACCCCAATTCAGATATTATAGATCATATTGATAATAACAAAGGAGCTTCTGAACTAGTCATCACAGAGAGAATAGTTGGATCTGCTCCAGTTGCCCCTACTATGAGGACTCGCTTCATTGGCCAGGGTTATAAGCAGGCAAAGACTACTTATATTTGGTTGCTTCTAAGCTTAGTTTAGTAAATTCATTTTTATATCCTATTATATATGCTTGAGTAAATTTTTCAAAAGTTCTTTTGTTTTGTTGTGTGCTCGTATACGTATGGATAATGCTTGTGTTTAGCCTAACAAAGATGTAATTTGGTTTATAGAGCCAGGCTTGTCATCACTTTGGGGCTCTTTCTAAGTACCAGGTTAGATGAATATGCCAAATTAGGAGTGATTAAGCTAGCTATGTAGGCATTACAAGTCAAGTGAGCTGCTTTGATTTGTCTTACTATTTGGTTCCGGTGTTGAACGTTCCTTCACCTCAAATCCATCCGACATTAGCCAATTCAATCACTCTAGAGATTTGGTGACATGTGCAACTCAAATCATTTCGCTTGAGAGGGTGGGTTTTTGCACCTATATCAATTCCCCCTGGTTTTAAATCCACTTTTTGAAGAAGGGTAAAGGGGTTTGAAATGAAGCATATGTGAACTTGAACTCTGAATAAGTCAGCATGAATTTGCATTTTTTTCCCAAATCATTGTGTGGTGCACAACTTTGTCCAATGGTCATTTATCTGGAACCAGTGGTCATTTTACCCATGTAAATATGATGCTGGCATTCCTTGCATGGTTAGTTAAGAAACTATGTTATTTCTTCTTTGGCTTCTTCATGCATTCATGTTTTTTGGTGTGCTCCTTCACTGCAAACTTGTAAGAGAGAAGGTGTGGAGGATGTAATTTCAGCCTTATAAATGTTGCTGGCAGGTATCCGTTATTCCTTGCTTCTCATTTCCTCCTTATTGGTTCTTTTAGTTCTGACTTCTGCCACTTTCTTCTTTTGGATTGAGTTTGAAGAAGTTGTAGATGTGACTGATTGTCATTTAAATAGTTTATTAGTAGATTTCATTAGATATTAGTAAAATATTTCAAATGAAGGGTTGGGGTCCTATTTTAGTGAAATACCAAGTACCTTTTAATAAGAGTATAAATTTCTTAAATTCTTAGAAACAATAAAGATGAGTGCAATACTAGAGTTAGTTGATTATCTATATATTGCACTTTTCTTAAAGCAAATCTAAATATTTTAAAACCTATCATTACTAAATTTTGGATAGGATATCCTAACCTTTCTCACATAACAAAAATCCAAATAACTAGGAAAAAAATTCAGTGAGGATATCCTATCCAATTTTTGGTGACTTCAAAATTCTTTGGATTTATTTTGGGAATATGGTGTAACACAAATTAATTGATTATCAATATATTGCACTTACCTCAAAATAAATTCAAGAGTTTTAGAACTCTTACTAACCAAATTTTAATCTTGATATCCTAACTCAAATTTTTGTCCTTGTTACAACAACAAGAGCATCAAGCTTTTGTCCCACTACGTGATGTCGGCTACATGAATCCTTTTTCTCTATCGTGTTCTGTTAAAAATCAAATTCTCATTTAAATCTAATAAAGAAAGATCATTTCTAATATTTTCTAACCAAGTCTTTTAGATCTATCTCTACATTTCTTAACATAAGTAGAGATTTTTGTCCTTATTAATGTATGAAATATCATTTTTCTTCTGTTTATGAGCAACCAAACAGACTTGCAGAGTCTTGAACCAACACATGTAACTATTCCTTTTTAAGTTTTCTCAACTTGATACAATTACCACTTGCAGGTGTGTGGGAAGGCAGATGTCTGGGGAGATGGAGTTGTTCCCGAGATCTCGGCGCACCTCGACGGCGCGCTCAATATAAGCTTGGATGGAGTTTATCACTCTCCAGTTGGTTCAGATGACACACAAAGACCTTGGTATGGATCCCCTTCAGTTGTCCAGAAATGGATCAATCACCTTCTGAATTGACATCACAAACAAGCTTAGAAGCAGATTCTCCTCTTCCTTACCTGAGAGTCTAAGGCTTCGTTTGGGACAACTTTCTTGTTGTTTCTTAAAGCAATTTTCTATAATTTTTATACTAAAAAACTGCTTTAAGAAGCAACAAAAAAGCCATCCCAAACAAAGCCGAAATCTGCAACTTCTCTTCAGTGCAGTTACAGGGGCTTGCTTAGATTGTTTCAACCTAATTGCTCTCTCATTTAGAAATGAAGTATAAGGGAGATCTTAGGGATAGGGCTGTCAAAAAAGCTCATTGTATCAGAAGAGCTCGAGTTCGACTTGACTTCTCTTTATGAAAACGAGCCGAGCTTAAATATATATTTTGATCTTATCTATCGAATGATTGAACATCTAATTGTGTTCGACTTGTTAATTATTTGTATAGGAGCGACATATATGTGATTGATTGTTCTTATAAACAAGCTTATGAATCTCTATGATTCAAAACATTTATATGTTGTTGATGGAGTGTCTGTAGTAGCCATTGGTGAATGTATTATGAACACTTGCTAATTATGACCATTCAATTTATTTTGGATGGCTGAGATTAATCAATGATTGTTTTAAAGAAAATCAAACTATATGTTCTTTGGGGAGAGTGGGAGTTTCCAACTCTTTCCTCGTCTTCCTTGGAGGTGACTTTTGTGCGGCCTTGGGACTCATTGGTGGTCCCTCCACCATATACTCGTCCCTTTCCTTCTTGCTTGAGGTGGAGCTCCCTCATCTGGGGGAGAAATTATTCTGTGCGGACGGTGAACGTCATCTGAAGACCAATCAGAATGAGTCATGTCGGTACCGCAGCTCGGTACCGCTTGGTATTACTGGCGTGACATATTTTGGTTGATCTTCAGATGTAGCACTGCGTTCGGTGTCCGTACAGAATAATTTCTACGTCTTCTCTTTTTGGGGAAGGAACTACCTAGCATATCCTTTGCACGCAAAGAACATATGTTAGAGCAAATGAAATGCTTATAAAATTTTATAAAAGAGAATAATCACAAGCTTAAGAATATGTGAAGATTTTTTTTTGGTGAAAATTGAAAGAGAAAAAGAGAATATTTTGAATAAGAGAGATAATAAAGAATGCACGGGGAGGAATAAAGATTTTATAAAAGAAATACATGAAAAGTTTAGATTTGGGATACTAAGTATAAAATTTAAGTTAAAAAAAAAAATGTACCACGTGTAAGTTGTGCCACGTAGCAACCAATTAGGAGTGCAAATGAGTCTAGTCAAGTTTGAGTTAGGAGATGTTCAAGTCGAGCTCAACTGTCAAATATCGAGCTTGAGCTCGAGTGGAGCTCAAAATTTGAGCTCGAGCTCGAGTCGGGCTCAAAATTCGAGCTCATCCCACTATAAACGAGCTCAAGCCGGCTCATGAGACTTGATGGGATTTTTTAAATATTATTAATTATTTTAACTATTTAAATATTTAATTTTTTATTAAATATTTTAAACATTTATTATTAATTTTAAATCTTAAATGTTACTTTTATTTTTATATTATTAAATATTTATAATTATTATTATTTAAAATTTTAAATTTAACAAATAAAATAAAATTATTTAAAAAATAGTAATAATTATTCGAGTGGCTCGTGAGCCCATAAACGAATCGAATTCGAGCAGACTCACTTACACCCTCCAACCAATCACTTTGTTACATGCTGTAGCAATTTGATTTGGCTGCAAATTTTTTTTTTTTTGGAAAATGCAATTTTTTTTTTAACTTAACGTTTGAGTATAGTTTAAACTAAATATTAAAAAAAAAAAATTGCGACCTACAGTGTTAAAATTTCGATGATGATAGCGCGAATCTTAAACTAATCAAACGGCCAAAAAGGTTGCGTATTGTTACCTAAACCACTGCGGTGGATGCCTCGCCTCTTCTATTCCATTGCCACTCGCCGTGCCTCCTTATCCTTTAAATCATCCGGGCTCCTCCTTTCCCCCGTGGCCGTACCCCTTCATCTCCTCTGGTATTTTCTCTCTCTCTCTCTCTCCATTTAATCAGCGAGAAGAAGAAGAAGAAGACTTGCTGCGTTTCTGAAGCGCTTGAACGGAGGCAGCTGATGGCGTGCTTGGTGCCGCAGTTCAAGTGTCCTGCCTCCTCGGACGCCAATTCAAGAATTTTTCACCATAGCCTTCACTGTAATCCATTCTACTTCTCCACTCCGCAATTCTCCATCATTTATTTTTAATTTAATCTTCTTTCCTTCAAAATTGAAACTTTTAGAGAAAGAAAGAGAGACCCTTTTCTTAAAATTTTGAAAAATGACCATAACTATGGAGTTTGTTAAACTCGCCGAGTAATGGGACCTCTAATGTAGGGTTTTCAACTGTTGAGATGTGGGAAGGATATGAGAAAGATATGTGTTTGAGATTCTTTCTTTTTGCATTCTACGAATATATCAACTTGCTACAAATAAGTTTCCAATTATTTCAAATGCATGGACGTGTGTTTTAGGGATTGTTCAATTTAGTGTTATTTAGGAGACATTGTTATGAACAATCTGTATGTCAATTTAGTGTATTTTGTTCAATTTTATCTGCTAAATGCAATGTGTTTGATTTAAGGGGTTGTTTGGTATCCTATTTTAGGCTGAATTTTAGCAAGATTTAGTAAAATTCTTCCAGTCAGAAGTTGGGGGACTTTAAATCCTATCGTTTTGATAGATGTCATTTTAGCTCCGTTATTAGTTAAATTCCAGATTTGTTTTATCTTACTATTCACTGAATTTAACGCATATAAGGTTCTTCCCTCTCACAAATCTTAAATCCTAACTCAAACAGCAAAATGATTTATCATGATTTAGCAAGATTTAAAGGTTGTCTTGCCAAAGAGTTTTCAGGTTTTAATACTCTCAGGGGCTGTTTGGTAGCACCCAAGATTTGATTTAAGTATGATTTTGTAAATCCGCTAAATCCAGATTTCGAAAATCCTAAGGGGCCTAAATCCTGAAAATTGTTTGGTAACAGTCATGAAAAATCCTATGAAACCCTGTGTGACTATTTGGCTATAGAACAGATAATCAGCGGACCTTTCCTCTCGAGTCAACTGATTTCATAAATCCGGCAAAAAACAGGATTTCGGAAATCCGGGATTTAGCACGATTTTGATCTACTGTGCCTTTCATTTGCTGTGAGATTTGGTTTTACTAAGTTTGGATTTACAAGATTTATATAATCCTAATGGTGTTAAATCTTAATTGTAGCAAAACAAAGCTTACTGTTCAAATGGCCTATGATATGCAGATATCACCCAACTGGATGATTTCTTGATGCCGGCTAAATGTAACTGAAGTATTCATTATTTAATGATGTTAGCAAGCCAAACAAGTAACAATTACTAAATGCAAATATCATCGAATCAAATCGCCCCATAGTTTTATCTATTTACTTTTTACAGTTGTTTTCTTCCAATAAGCTTATTCTCTTTTTATTCTCCAATATTATGACCTCAGGAGGCCGGAACTTCATTTTGTGAAATATACTTCAACTTTTTTGCTTTATGAAGAAGATCTCCGGAGATTTTTATCTTAAGAATAAATAAATCTGATTTCTCTTTTTGTTTTTCATCTACTACAGAGAATTATAATTTGTTTAAGGAGCATGTGAAAGTTTTGTTGCATAGGAGTTTTAGACTTGTTGTATTTGAGGATTTGCTTATCTATAATGCTAACAAGACAACAAGAATTTTTTTTTTGTCCTCTAAATATGCAAAGTTGCTTCCTCATTGATAGAGTGTTATCATTAGTTTTGCAATGTATTCATTGATAATTTTTTTTTATCAGCCACATCTGCTGCGAATGCTAGAATCCTTGTACGATTTGAGACTCATTGTACTGCATCCCAAATGACAGCGGTCATTGAGAAGCTCCACATGCCAACCATGGAGGCTCATCCATTCTCATTAACTTGTATGAGTCCCTTGACATATGTTGGTGCTGTTGGTCCTCCAGAAAATGTGAGTATCATCATATCGTTTGTGAAGTAGTTCTTGAATATGGAAAAGGTAAAGTTTTTAAAAGAAACTCTATATATATTAAAACTAAGGGGACCAATAGTGAAAAAATTGAGACTAGGCTTAGTCACTCGTTGAACAGGCGACTAACCTTGCCTTGTCTGCAAATTTGGTTGACATGGCAAACCAAGTCACTCGATCAACCGGAGATTGGTTTTTATTTTTATTTTTGTTGTTGGTTTCCTATTTATGCAATTGAATTTAAACTAAATTTGAGATTATAAATACATTTATAATTTTTACACAAATTTATTTAACTTTCTGTTTGAGTGATTCCCAGTTGTTTTTTATTTTAAATGTCAGTTTTTAATGAAAGAAATTTTATATTTTCTTTAATATCTGCTCAAATAGTGGGATAAATGTTTGATGTTATTATTGTTGTTTAAGAATATCTATTTTTGTAGAAATTTAACTATATTTCAATCGTATCAGAATAAATTTGCCTAAAAATATAATTCAAGCTTATGGTAGTAAAGAATTATAATTTCAAAGCTACAAACAGTCTTCATGATATTATGTGAATCACTCTAGTAGAAAATTGAAATAAATTAATGTAAATCATATATATATATATATTTTCAGCACGATTTTGAGGATTCACCGGGTATTAGGTATTTTTTCGTTTCTTTTCTTTGGGTATTATACGTTAGTCAACAGAAACTTAGAAAATGTCAGGTTCAAAGATGAAAAATGTTATTCAGGATACAACTAATGTAAAAAAGTACGTTAAGTCTCTTGTACTAGTTATTGTAAATGATTCAGATTTACAAAAACAAAATTTTCATGTAAATCATGGTTTCATGGATAAGTTTCGAAAACCCAAGTTCAAGATGGATTGCTGGAGAGCTTAGAAATATGGGTTATGTTTATTTTTATTTATTTATTTTTGTCCATTCTTCTTGTTTTCGTAAAGGGCTTCCATGTTGATGTAATTTTAATCACTCAAAACTTACAAGTGGCAGCTTTCTTAAAGGACAATAGTGTAATACTGCAATTCCTGACAAATATCACCTCTTAATTTAGATAAATTATTATGTGCAGACACTGGACGTCATCCGAAGGCTAACCAGAACGCGTCACGTTACTTTTTTGCTTGGTATCAGTGCTGGGTACCAGGTGATATGACACGTCTGGTTGGCCTCCAGACCGTCCGGTATCCACACAGAATAATTTCTCCTTACGTTAACATGATACTGTTTTACTGCTCATTTATTTAAGCAAAAACCATACTAAAGTGCTAGTTGGCAAAATCTTGTATTTTTGGGTGCCTTTTTAAACTTACTGATTGATATACTTTATCATATAAGTTTCTACTTGTTTATTTTACGATCAAGTTCATGGGAAAAAAATATTCTTCTCTTTGGTTCAAGAAAGCAATCTCTGAAGTCTTCTTTTACCATAAATATCTTGCATTCATTATCCTTTCATGAAAATGGAAGGATATGACAGCCAACTAAATGTGCTAATCTCTTAGGCTTTTACATCCTTTTTATATTAAAATTTTTACCTTGGCATTTTTGTCTAGAAAATCTTTGAAGCAAATTTAACTAGAGAAGAAATCCTCACGAGTGAAGAGGCAGTGATAGCAGCAGCTGCTGCCGAGGCAATTACTCTTGCAAAAGCAGCACTTAAATTTGCCAAAGCAGCAGCTCTGTTGCTCCAAAGCAGCCCATCTTTGAAATATGGCAAAACAAATGAGCAGGCTTCTGGTGAAGAAAAACTTAGGCCTGACGGTGTCAAACGATCCGTATCCAAGAAGATCAGCCGGGTTAGTCATTCTGTTACAGAGGCAGAAACCGAACCGAAGGAACGGAATTTGACATGGCATCAATCTGACTCGCAACGTACATGTATCTCTAATTTTGAGACCGATGAACTTGATGCGAGGGAAAATATAACTGTGAGATCGTTGCGTCATATAGAGAGAAGGGTCAGAAGAGAAAAGATAGAAGAGAAGGCCGCTGCTAGTGTTATTTCTACTAAGTTGTGGTCACCTGGGAAAAAGAAGCGCGCTGGATTTCATGAAGTTGATTATTCTGATCCCCTTCGCTACCTTAGGGGCATGACAAGTACAGCAAAGCTTCTCACTGCTTCTGAAGAGCAACAGTTATCAGAAGGAATTCAGGTGCAGTACTTTGTGCATCTATACATATTGGGATTGATGGCTCATTTACTATCATAGATATTGAGACATGAAAAATATATTGTGTAGCTTGAAATGTTGGTTAAAATTCATATTCATACTAGCATGAGAGGAATTTTGATATTGTGTTTCCTTTAAGTTTTTTTGGTATTGCCATATATGGAAAGAGGGAAAATGATAGTATTAATTTTTAATTGGCGACACATGTAGCAATTTGGGCGTTCTACTTCTTTTCCTATTTTCATGTTCAACTTTCTTCAATAAGTACCATGCAGCATTCCTGTGAAAATGTCTAGACATTTATTTTTGAGCTTAATAATAAAATGAACAGGTATAGTTGGTAATGTGGCATTGTTGATCTGAATTTTGAAAATCTATAATTCCCTTACCCTCTTTTAATATGCATTAAACCATTTTGTTTGGTTTAAGCATTAAATGCTAACTCTATAGAGCATAAATGAAGTGTTGCACATCATATATCATTTGTATGTAGAGAGAGAGAGAGAGAGAGACAGAGAGAGAGAGACTTAACTACTAATAAAATCAACTGAAATTTACATCAACACCACTTCTTGCAAGATAAAACTCACTGAAAATTAATGTTTTATCTCATTGATGAATATGATGCAGGACATGCTAAAGTTAGAAAGAATTCAAGATGAGCTTGCAGAAAGAATTAGCGATGAGCCAACATTTGCACAATGGGCAACTGCAGCTGGACTTGACAAGAAGGCCTTGAAGAAACGCTTAAACCATGGAAGACAATGCAAGGACAAGATGATCAAAAGTAACATACGACTTGTTATCTCCATTGCTAAAAATTTTCAAAGTGCAGGAATGAGCCTCCAGGATCTTGTTCAGGTCCTTTAATTACCTCACCTCATGACAGGATGATGACATTGGTGCTTGTAGACTATATCTTGGTGTTGACATTGAATCTTATTTGCAGGAAGGTTGTCGAGGTCTATTAAGAGGTGCTGAAAAATTTGATGCTTCAAAGGGATATAAATTTTCTACTTACGCGCATTGGTGGATCAGACAATCTGTTCGAAAGTCTCTTTCTGAGCAATCTAGGACAATAAGATTACCAGTAAGTTCAACCCTAGTAAATCTCTATGAATAAATTAAACTAGCATTATGAGTGCCAACCTCTTCATTAAATTCTTGTTAATTTCTCAAAACAATTTTAAATGTGATGCATATCTAGCAAATGATGATAAATAGGTAGCTTTTGGTTTGCATTTCGGAAAAACTAAAATCTTTGATGTGGAGTATGCTAAAGTTGGTGGGAAAAAAATAGTTTTGGAATTTTCATTTAAATTTACTTTATGGTACAACACAATTATCTTTGAACTGCGAGCCAGTTTTTTTTATTTTCCAGGGCAATCTTATTTTTCATAATAATGAATTGCCTAGTAAAGTTGGATATATGATTTGCAATTCGATGAAAATATCTTTTAGTTCCGGAAAGGCTAAACGTAACTCAGGATGTCTCTATCCTAGTTTTTTTTTTTCTGTACTATATATAATGCAAACCCAAAAGAACCTTAATGCGCGTTCATTGTGGATTTACCTTTAATTGTTATGGTTCACGTGATGTAGCTTTTATCATGAAATGACATAATATTACATAACAAGTAATCAGTGAGCAGATTGCGTTGAAAAGTTGAGAAGAGTATCACCAGATCGATAATTTCATCAGGCTATTATGCAGACCAAGAAAATCAGAGCTTCAATATTTTGTGCCCACTTATAAAGATGAGCTATTGTTGATTTCCTTAGAAGTTCCAAAACTTCGATATTAGATCAGAGTTGCAGCATAAAATTGGTTGACTTGATCTATAGTCCTTGGATGGGGATTGATGTTTAGATCTTGGGGGTGGCCATTGTTTGATAGGTCTCCATCTGAGCCAAAACTCCCTTCATGTCTGTTAAAATAATAAAAATTCCCCCCAGGGTGGGCATGTAATTACATACAATGGATCCATAATTATGGCTCTCATGTATACTCGTGGACCAGACCAAGCCTATTCAAGCTAATTAACTAGTGGGCATCACCCATACTTGACAATAGCAAATATCACATCATAGTACAAAGGTTTTGTGTAGCTATAGCATAGTGTATGGTGTAGCACGCTATTTTAATCATAGCTCAAACATTAAAAGATTATGGATAAAGATGCAGCTTGATATGCATGAACATTTATGAACAATAGCTAAATTCAAAATAAACTTTCATGGTAATAAAAATAATGTACACACGCACACCACGCTTATAATGTTAAATATTTATACTTAGGCTTGTGCTCAATCACTCAAAATTCAAAATATTATAATTTTGTTTTCGAGTCTTATGTTTTTAAAATGTAAAATTAATCTGCTTAAGAATCATCATCATAAGCTAATATAGCCTAATCTTTTCATCATTATTATTATCTCTTAAGGGGCTATTTGATTTGATGAAAGGTGAGTTTAAGTATTCCAAATGTAAAAATTTTGGTGTTTGGTTTGATAAAAAATGAATGAGTAGAAAAATTTGGTAGTTACAAATTAACGCCAGAGTTTATTTTTTATATATTCAAAATTTACTTGTTTTTAGTCGAATTTCAAATTCATCATAAGCTGACTCCGCTCTCACCGCCGTTTACCAGCTGCACCTTCGTTGCTATTTTCTTGTTGCCACTGCTCACCACTGGCAGCCCAATGAGATTGTTCTCCACCATCGATCATCTGCTATTGTCATCTCGCCCCTACTGCTGTCACATACCGTCATCGGCTTCCATCATTATTGAATTTTACATTGCATTTACTTTACTTAAAAAAATCACTTTCATTTGTTTTACATTTATCTAAATAACTCCAAATATTTCAAATACATTGTATTCATTTTTCATTATATTCTAATTTACTTTGCATTTTTTAAGAAAACCAAATAGCCCCTAAATCATAATATTTTTCGTTACTCTCATCATCTACTTGTTTCTTTGCAAGAGTATCAAGCCTAGATGAAGATTCATTCTTGTTTCCTTTATATTGCTCTCGAATATCATCGTTTTTTTATAACACCTCTATCTTTTGCAATAGTGCTCGATATCATTGTCAAACACATCATTTAAAGTCACGCTATTGCCTGTTGAAAACATCATCCAAGCATAAGCTTAGATGAGGCTTATGCCTAATAAGATTTTTGGATGATCAAATAAACATGTACCTTTTGAAGTTTTAGCCTTTTGAGATTTTTGAAGAATTGGAGAAACATATACCTTTTAAAGCTTTTAGTCTTCCAAGATTTTCAAAGAACTAGAGAAACATGTTCGTTCTAAGGCTTTTGAATTTTGAGATTTTTGATTAAAAAAAAGGATGAAAATGGTCCTTTACTCTTTATGAAGGATTAAAATGATCCACAACTATATTAAAGGATAATTTTAGTCCCTCAACTTCTTAAAAAAGAATTAAAATAATCTCACAATGGGATTATTTTTATTCTTTTAAAAAAACTTGAGGAACCAACATGATCCTATAATATAATCAAGGATCAGATTGATCCTTCATAAAGAGTCAAGGGACCATTTTTGTCTTTCTCCCTTTTTGGATAGGTGATGACTTTTTTCAACGGCTTGCTCGTATGGAGTCTTTCTAGCAAAGAATATGTCTACTACTAGTTTCGCATCAAGGCTACCTCATGAGCAAGTCTCTCAAGGGACCCTCTTTGACATTTGCTCTCATAAGGTCTTTCTAGTGAGGACTATGTTCACTCTTAGCTTCTCATTGAGGCTACCTCATTAGTGTGCCTTTCAGGGCTTTTTTTTAGATGTAATGTAATTCATAAGAGGAAGATTTCATTAATAATTTGAATAAATACTTTTTTGAAAGATGTGTATATATATTCAATAGAAGTCAAAATGTGAATTCTTTTAGGAGCTGTTTGATTTGAAGTAAAATGAGTGTAATATATTTCGAGTATATGAGTTTTTAAAATATTAATTTATGGTATGAAGTAAAAGAAGTGCTGATTAAAGATTTGAAATATTTGAAATTCACCATCTTATTTAATTTTGGTGTTTTTTGTACTCATTAGATTTGGTTGATTTTCAATTACACTATAATTCTAACATTGTCACCACAGCTCATTGTTAGCAACTGCCTGCCGCCATCACTTGCCAACACACACAATCATTGTTGCTCGTCATTGTTGGCCACCAATTTTTAGTTGTCGCTGCCCACCTATGCTGGTGCCGTCATCCACCACCAACCACTAGTTGTCGCCGCCGCTTGTCGTCTTTGCCTGCCACTCTCCATTTGCAAGAGCCACTTCTGGCCACTGCATGTCGCCTCTTGTCTTTGCCTACCGTCAGTAGCCACTGTCGCTTTTGCAGTATTGTTGTGCTTTACTTTACATTCATCACTTTAAACCAAACAAAAAAGTAATTACTTATCTTTATTTTACACTCACTCAAATAACTCCGAACATTTCAAATACATTGCATTTCTTTTATATTATATTCTATTTAATTATGCATCATTTTAACCCAACCAAATGACCCCCTTTAGAAACTCTAATGAGTTTGACTTTTTTGAGTTGCTTTAGTGATGGAATCTTTTAGTGTTTAAGGGATGCCACTCATATTAAATATTCTAATATTTTTTTTTCTCCATGACTCTTGATTTTCCTCTATTTTGAGGCTTGTGATCTACGAGTTGTTCATATAAATAATGACTAGATAATTTTGACAAATCAGATGTTCAATCTTTTCTTTCAATTGTAAATATTTTTCTATTGAATGTTCTTTTGAACGTCAAAAACAATAATATTAAGAATTATTTTTACCATTTGATTTTTTTTGAAGTTTTGCCTGTAGATATTTGAAATTGTTTATCTTTATTAGGGTGTTAGACTTGAATGTTTTTAATAGTGTATAATTGGATGTGATGCAGGACTAAGTATGAGATGTTTTTAGTTCATTTGGATTTTGCACAACTTGTGATTAGAATAATCATAGAACAAAACTAATAGCACTTTAAAATGATGAGTCAAAACAAATAGGGGTCACACTCGCTTAGGCCAAATTACGTAGCAAGAGATTTGAACTCTTTTCAAATAAATCAAGAAAATAACACAATGACAAGTAGTAGTTTCAAAGAAATCCCTAGTCTAACAACGAGATTTAGAAAACATAAAGGTGCACTCAAATCCTACGTTAACTAAGCTTTAGTATGAGCAGTATGGAGTCCTCCTTCTTGATTGTGAACAAATCCAAGAGAAATTAGATTTAGGAAATATAAGGAAAGGAGAAAGAAAGAATCTTCGTCAAGTAGTGGTGGATATCTTCCACTCGATGCTCTTGAAGTGCTCGTCAATAGCTTCGACCAAGTAGATCAAGGTGTGCTCCAAGTAATCCTCGACGGTGTGATCAATCCTTGGATTCACGTCGAAGAAGGTAGATTGTAGGATGTTGACGAAACCGTCCTCGTCCCACGTTATTACATAATCAGTATCCGGATCCGCCATTCATGGAGAATTGAGTGTACAATCTCCTTAGCACTTGATAGGGCTCTTGACTTTAAGTGACGAGAAGAAGTTTCTCTTGCGATTGAAAGGAGGAAGAGCCAATTAGGAAATCTGAAATAAAATTCCAGGTTTTGTGTAAAGGTGGAGAATTAACGATGGAGAGGGAATTTGAGAGAGAAAGGGGGCTAGTATGGGAGGCTAGACCGGCGGTAATGAGGAGGAGGTAGGGGATTTCTTTCCAAAGCGTGAGACTTGATTTTTGGAAAGAAATAAGGAGGTATATGGGTATTTGAAATTTTCGGTCAAAGGGAATAAAGAGGATTTGAACTATTTCCAAAGGGTCACTTGGGTTTTGGAAATAATTCAAAAGGGGCTTTCATGAGGCCGGCAACATGCATGGACAAGGGGGAGTTAATGAGGGCAATTAAAGTTTCTTGACTTAGGTTTTGAATTTAGGAAAGGTTTATTTTAAATCCAATTGAATTTGTAATTTCAAATTAGATCCAAAATAGAAACTTTCCTAAAATAGATGAATTATTTTAGGAAGGATTTTGAAATTCAAATTCAAAGGAATTTAAACT